GCATCGTTATTTGCATATGTTTGCATTAATTATGGCAGCATATGACACATTTTGCAGAACTTAAGACACTTCTATGGACTGGCTCACATCCCAAATTCTGGCTGTGCAATTTTTTTTTCCTCCCTTCTCTTTGCCCATTTCCTCTTGCACCACTCCTTGCTTTGTAGGCTTTTTGTTTTGTACCCCAGATCTCGCTTTTTTGTTTCTCTTTCATCAGCTTATTCCCTCTTTCTATGTAAATTCGTCCAGTTTCTCTTCTCTCTTTTTTTTTTTTCCCAGTCCCAAGGCCATACATGCTGAGTTGGAGTTTGTGGCACAGCACCCAGCACTGAGGCTTCAGCCACTACTGTATTAGGATGACATACAGTAATTAACCAACGGGTGGCACTAAAACTTTGCAAATCAAGGCATGTTAGTTCTTAAAGTTTTGCAGAAGGTGAGAGAAGCTGCTATGTGGCCTGCCTGAGCAGTCTTTGCTTTCAGCAGCAGCTCAGGTCCTGTAGGGCTGCCCAGGTGCTCTGTGAGAGTCTGGAGCAGCAGGCCCAATGGCCTGATTCACTTGCCCACTGCAGGGCCTTCAATACAGTGATATCTCACACTTACTGTAGATCCCAGGGCTTTGGTTTGGTTGGTTTGGCCTCACGTTGCAGCCCTACTGACTGTTCCAAGCATAATGTTTCCAGTTCTCATTTGCTGATCTCCAAAAAGAATTACATAGGGCAGAGAGCCAAAAGCTGCATCCCTTCCTTGCTGTGACCCCTGGTGAACTGTGCCCACAGGAAAGCTGAAAACCTTCATTTAAAGGAAAAAATGAGGCCGGTGGGCCTTAGGTGCTTTTTTCTTTTCCTTCTTTGGTCAAAACCTGTTCCCTTGAACAGAATTTTCACTACCTGAACTGCCCTAGTAATAATTAACCTTTTAGTCTGGATGTCTGATGCTTCATGTAAGTACTTACAATGTATATATGCTTGCATTCAATTAAAATGGATGGAGGTATTTGCCTGTTATACTACAATGTAACCTACTTCTCCTACAGGGCTATGTGGCTTTGGAAACTTATGACCCATCAGAATATGACCCACTGTTCCTGAAGACGTGCACAGGCTGCTGGAAGGTGGGGTGGTTTGTGCTGTGGAGATCATATCAGATGCACCAAAGCCTTGTGTAGTGGGTGGGAGAGGCAGGTAGGAAGGACTCAGGCACAAATCCACAAAATGCAATTCTCTAAATCCTTCCTGGTTGCTGTGAGCCCTCGGGACCATCTGTATCTCATCGTTTGTGACAGTGTTGAAGGAGGAGCTGTAATGCTCAGCATTTCTACAAACTGGGGCCACTTAGGTCTGTCCCTCATCTTTTTGTTCATAAAAACTGAGGTTGATATTTCTCCCTGCTAACCAACTGTTTCTTGTGAAGTTTACATTTGTCTGACTTCGGTCTTTGAGACACTCTCATAAAATCCTTGTCTATGTGCTTACGCTTGAAGTTATTGTCTCTGTCACAGGTTTCAATACCAGCTTTACAGGATCCTCTGTTAAAAGCTGTTCAGAAAAAGTTTATTGAGACAGGCATCGTCAAGCAGTGTGAGACAGGTAGGATAAATCATCAGTGTCCTTTAGAAACTTTTCATGCTGGGGGAAGCTCCCCCTTCCTTGGCAAGCATCCGTTTCCTTCCCTCAGGAAGACCGTGCTCTAGCAGAGAGCTGCAGGAACTGCCCCTGCTTCCCCTGGGCCGGCAGCGCATGGATGCGATCGAGTGGCTGAAGGTTCCACACACCTACATTGCTAGTGAGCTCCACAGAACAAGGAGGTAAGAGCTGCTGTGTTTCTTGAGAGAGCAGTTACACCAGGTAAAGCCTCTCGTTTGCCTGCATTGTAAAGTATTTGATAAAACACTCCCAGTGATTCACCTCTTTTTGAAAGCTCCCCGGCCTGCTGGTGCAGTGCACAACAGTTAAAGGAAGTTCTGTTCCACAGTGACAAGAGCATCAAAGCTCAGCTGGGAGCCGGATGTCCTTGAAGCCGGCCCACTCTCTCCCCTGAGCCCATGTACTGGAGCTTTACGCCTCTTGCTGGCCCAAGCCTTTGTCCAGCATAACTGTTAGAGCGATTATGGGCTAACAGCAAGTTCTAGAAGGGAAACTGGTCACAAAGACAAGCATTTCCTGGAGTAACTCAGTGTGGGAAAGAGCCAGTGCAGGAAGCCGTGCTGGGCGATGGCAGCCTTGCTCTTGGGTTGGCTGACAATAGCTTTTATTTCTGTTTGAAGGCTGAGAGTCGTGGACCACCACAAAGACAGTGAGAGCAGATGATGTCACCTCCAGCTCACTGCAGTGGCAAGCACAGCCATCAGAAGGTACTGTCTGCAAAACATGTTAGGTCTTCTGCTAAAGCAAGTGACAGTGGGCCAGGTCTTCTGGAAAACTGCAATAAACTCGTTGTCTTAAAGTAGTGCTTCTGCAGTACTGTTACCAGCAGTCAAAGAAATGTATTTAATACTGCTGCTATTACTTCCAGCAGTGGACAGGGGAATGACAAAGCTTGCATTTAGCTTCAGGTGTTGCAATACTGTATGGAGCTGCTGGTGCCCTAGCGATGCACACACAGTTCTGCTGTGGTCCCCACCTCCCCACTGCTGTAACTGCACAGAAGCTCTGATGTTGAAGCCTGAGAACAGCAGCAGCTCTCTCCCGCTCTCTCACAGCACAAACGTGATCTCTCAAGCGTTGCCAAGATTTAGTTTTATTTAGGATTAGAAATACTGAACCACAGAAAACTGTTAAAAGTAACAGAGGTTGACTCAGCTCTGTAACAGGAGGGTACACAGATGGCAGTCAAGTGTGGAACTGTCAGACACCGGGAGGTATTGCGGCACCCACAGAAAACAAGGGCACCTGCTGTTCTGAATTGCATGCTGTGCTTTTTCAACAAAGCAGCTGAAGGAGGCAGTACGATGGTTACCATGTATCAAACCCTTTACAACAATCTTCCTTAGATCAGCCCTACTTCTGGTGCCCTAAGAAGGGTTTTGCTTGCAGCCAGTCTCATCTTGCAGATGAATGCTGTGCTAGCGCTTCCTCTCAGCAAACATCTTGAACTTTTAACAAACTTCTTTTGAATTTAATTCCATAAGTAAGTTTTTCTCATTATTTCACATTCTCTTGTACAATAAAATATACTTTTTAAAAGTCACTATGCACCAATAGACATCTGTAGACAAATTACATTAATAAACTTATATTTTACTCTCTATATACAATGTTGGCAATGTCAAAGCTTCAAGATTCACATGGAGGTTTGCAAAACCAAGGAACTGTACATAAATAACTTAGATTTAGGAAAACCAAAAGCTGAAAAGTATTGTTCCACATTATTGTGAGTCACAGTATTTAAAACATTGTTTCTAGTTCTTTTTTTACAATGACATTGTCTCAGCAGAGAACGATTCATCCAACTGAAGCGAAAAGAAAAATCAAGTTGCAGTTACTGATTTCAGTGCAGAATTAAGTCAAGTGAAGAACTACACTTGATTCTTAAAGAATATACAAGAGATTGGAGAACTCTCCAGTGCTAAGGCTTCTTCAGCATTTAATCTTTAAAACTATCATCCTGAGACAGGAGGATTCCAGTGGATATCACTTTTCAGATTTCAAACAGAATGATTCTAGTGCGAAACTAAACCATTCCTCAGTCTGCTCATTAGACTATGTGGTAAAATACACGTATGTTTTGATGCCACGTTTCTACCTAATACTTTTTATGGCCCTGACAATGAAAACATTGGCATCCAATACCAACATATTCCAATGTAATAAAAAGGCACTGAGCTATAGTACTGTACACACAGTAACGTCTGTGTTTGCATAGATGAACGACAGCTTTGAACGCAGCAAGGAACTAAATGCAACCAGTGACTGAGGGAATGGGAAAGCAGCAGGTATATTGCTTAATGAGGAGCTTAGGGCAAGGAATCTCATCCCAAAGTTCAATCCGTCAGTTTCATTTGTCCTTCATAAATTAAAGAAGTGCTCTCAGAGGAGTGTTTTCTGGTCAAAGAGCTGCAGGTCAAAACGGACCCAGACCTCGCCGGTCGGCACTTCATGCAGCAGTAAGTGCTTGGTTGTGGGGCCTTTGCTCTCCTGCTCTGTTCGGATTTTTGCTACCGGAATTTCAGTGCGACCCAAAAAATCTGTTGTACAAAAACAAGCATGAGATGTCATTAAGCACAGACATGAAGCTCAGGAAATCTGAAAGCGTGACGTTAATCAGCAGTGCTACGTGCTGCGCAGGGAAGCACCGTGCGGACCTGAAGGGGAAGCTGTTCCCTGTCAGACAGGGGAGCTCAGGGCTGTGCAGCAGTTTTTCAGCATCACGCAGTTTCCTTACCACACAGACTTTGATTTCAGGCACTACTTTTGCTTATTCAGTTGTTACTTCCAGCATTAATGATTCTGTACTATCACACTTGAAATGTTCTGTCTGCGACATCTACAATTTATGACAAGTGACAGTCTCAAGGTCAGAACTAAGCGATGGCACCCGTTTACATGTCAGCTGCACTGCTACAAAGACCATAAAAAAATTAAGTACTTTGGCTCAGACAACTTTTGTTTAGGCTTCTGTATCACTTCACCTTTTAAAGACTACCAGCAGCAGACTGCAAAAAAATGTTTGGTCTCCAAGCAAAAGAACGCTCATCAAGTAACTGCTGTGTAAACGTACCCTAGTACTTTATTCTCAGGCACTGCCTACAATGACAGACAAAAACTCCTTTCAGCTCCCAGCTCTACAAAAAATAGTTCTGTTCCTAATAGAAAAGCCTGAGTGGGATCAAATCTGACTGTTGGCTCTGGGCAGCTATTCAGCCTCTTCAGTATGGAAGCACAGCTTTTTACACAACATTTTGCAGAAAGCAATTGTACCTACAGACTGTTGGTGAAAATCCATGCATCCCAAGTCACAAGAACACTTTATTTTCCTAAAACAAATGTTCACGCACTTACCGTCAGGAGAGAATTGATCCCTGTCAAACATGGTGATACAGAGGACATCCTGATACAGATCCTTAATGAAGAACTGGCAGTTAAAGTTCCACTTGGGGTTCAAGGTGTCCTGCATGGTCCTCGTTGTGTAGCTCTGAGAGCCCATGCTGATTTCACAGTACGGGTTGCTCTTCCCTAAGCAGAAAAGCAGCAGTGAGACACCCCAGAAGTGCCAAAACCTCCCTCTCTGTCTACAGGCTGCTTGGACACACATCTACGCTGCTGTCCAGATGATGTGGGGTTACATATCCACAGATCTTATAGCAGCACAGAGCTGTTTCTCCATTCACTCCTCTGAAGCTAAATAATGGCTGTTATGTCCAGGAGCTGCAGCTGTAACCACATTTCCCAAATTGCCAGACTGCTCTTAATGAGCCTTTCCAAACCCTGCAGGAATGTGAGACTATTTCCATCACTTACCATTGGGTTTACAGGCCTTCAGCTCTGTTGCTTCAATCACGTGCACCATCAAACGTCCTATTCCCGAGGTCTTCTGTGAGCGAGCTGGAAACAAAGAAGTCAGAAATTGGCTGCAACCACAAAAACTGGCTGTTTTTGAAGAGAGATTCCCCCCAGAGATGTGCAGCGTCCTTCAGAACACACTGGTGTCTGGGTGGGTGAGGGAAGAAGACAGAACTCAGTACCTTGATATGCTTTTTCACGTTTCTTCTTCTCAGTTTCAATGTACTGCTCGGATGCTGCTTTGATTTTCTGGACCCAGGCAGTGCTGCAAAGAGCAATCCCAACATAAGAGTTGTACCATAGGCAGGAAATCCCTCATCAACAGCGACTCTGCCCCATCCTCTTTTGCCATTTTTTATTTACTGGATTTCAGAGGCATCACAAGTCAAGTTCGCTTAGGGACCAAAGCTGCAGAGGTTTCACATTAATTCTTATGGCACGCTTCCATATGAGCCTAAATAAATGAAATTGAAATGTCTGTTTTATTACAAATTGCAGGGTCACATGGAAGACTGACCAGCACTGAGGAAGAATCCTACGGGATGCAGGACTTGGCAGACCTAAACTATTCTTCTATGCAACTACAACATCTGGGAGCAGTAGATGCAATGCTGGCTTTCAAGAGCTGCCCTACAAGCGGAACAAAGTGACAGAAAGCTTGTAATTCATACAAGAGTCAGAGGAGTTCATGTCCTGATGGGGAAGCTAAGCCTTGTCCTGCTCACCAGGAACACAGCCCCCAGCCACATTCAGAAAGGTTAACCTCAAATTCGCATTTGCTCTACTCACCGCTCATTGATGTTGTCAGTTTTAAGTGTGTAAACTCTGTCAATGTGTGATATGTGGAAAACTGGCTCATCACTGGAAGGATCCGTGGGCAATTTCACCAGGACTTCATTAAGAAAAACAGGCTGAAAGAAAAGCAAACATTGCTGTGGTGTCATCACCCTGACATTAAGCTGAAACTCTACAAGGATATTTCAGTACATGTTTTTTTCTGCAGGGTGTTTGAAAGTTGAAGGATACAAGAAGAACAATCAGATCACCGTGTAAAGGAGGCAACAAAGGACTGAAAGAAAAACTACTCCGAATCAACAGGACCACGGGGCACCTCCTGCACTCACCATTTTGTACATTTTGAACTGGGAGTTGGACTTGGGGCTGAACAGTTTATCAGAGCCAGAAGAGACAAACTGTTTGACCATGTAGGTAAGCAGCAGGAAGTCGTTGAACAGGAAGCCATACAGCTCCTTGCTGCTCTTCGCCTTGTACAGCTTGCCGCTGTGCAGGAGCTTCCGTGGTCCCAAGCAGTTTGTGAGGGAATTGAACACGGGTTGCTAGGAGAGACAAAAATCCATGAGCAGCAGCAAGCAAATGCAGGCATTAGTTCCTCTTCACAACAGCAATTGCTCAAACTGCTCAAAATCCTCTTTTGCTTACTGAATATGGAGTTACCAGTGAAGAGGAGGGAAGCTGTCTCACGATCTGTCATGGTGTCAGCACTATTCCCAGCTGTAAGCAAGTTAAATCTGCTTACAAACAATAAATGCTCAGGTCTGGACCAGCATTCACCTCATGGTCACTTTTCTGTTGTCCAGAAGTTGTGTTTAAGAAGAGTCCTGCAGTCAGGTAACCTCTTATGAATGCACAGCAAAACAATGGCACCAGGACAGGCACGCTGGGCTCTGTTCCCTGTCCAACCCTGGCTACCAGTGAAAACTGGTACCACACTTCATTTTGAAAACTGTCCCAAAGTGTACGTCTGATTCAGTTCAAAGGCAGCATGAGCAGAACTTCAGGACTGGGAGTTACTTCTGTTTGTTTAACTGTTTGAATGGTATTAATTATACACTGGTAAACGGAGATTCCCCACTGCCAAAATAATGCTTGAACAACGAGGGCTCATCATACTGTGGCTGTGAGCAACATCTCTGCCAAGAGATCAGCAGTGGATCACATTCCCAGTATGGGATGTGGGCAAGCTCTCTCATTTCCCTGAATCACAGAACTGTAGTGGTTGGAAGGGACCTCTGGAGCTCCTCTAGTCCAACCCCCTGCTAAAGCAGCTTCCCTGCCACAGGGTACACAAGAAAGGATCCAGGCAGGTCTTAAGTATCTCCAGAGAAGGAGACTCCCCTGCTCTGGCCTTCCCAAAACAAACTGACACAGCCTCTGCCAGAGAGCACTGCAGTGCAGCTACCTCAGCAAGGCCTTCGCACTGCACGTGGGACTGTATCCATTCCAGCCGGTCCGAGTTCTCTTTCTCACGCACCCCTTCGTTAACCTGAGAACACAGCTCTTCTGCACGCTCCAAGGCAAGCCTGAGGTTACTGTGATCTGGGTGATTTTCTGGAGTATTCTCTAGAATCTGGTGCAAAACAAAATGAGGAGAAACCAAGACAAAAGATAAGCACGGAAGATAGTTCTCCACACTCTTCCAGAAATCCCCATGAAGAGATAAGGTTTTCTTTCTTTTGCTATAGAGAATAAAATCAAAGCATTTTCGTGCAAGACTTCACTCAGGGTACTCACACTCTTTATAAGCAGAGGGTAGCGCGTTATTCTTTGCATGGGTTTCAGGAGGAAACTGGAGAGGGGCATTCCTTTGCAGCGAGGATCCAGAGCAAGTTTCTACAGTGCAATCCAGAGACATGGTATTACTCATCAAGAAACAGCTGCTTCACTGCACTGAAAAGGGTCTGATCAGATTTAATTTTTTCAGGCTTTCCAAGAAATCTCAGACTTTTAGGCTAGCAAACAATACAGTCCACTTGTATCTAGAACAAACAGGAAAGTCAGCGCTGTCATTGTGCCCAGATGCTTCGCCAGCACAGCGCTGTAGCATCATTGCCCATGCAGAGTCAGAACATACAAAACCATTCCAGCTTTTATTCTGACATAATATGCTCCACTCAGGTTGAAAAACAAAACAAAACAAAACAGTGAATGAAGCAAATGCCTGATGTCAACAGTTCAAAGGCACAGCATCAGCTGCAATACAGCAGTGATCCCTTACTTCTTCCTGCAGCTGCCTGTGATGCTCACCATGCGCAACTGAAGGCCCAGCCCCTGCTGCTACTTCATGCCTCATCAGTTTGCACATTGCACAGCACATTCTGCACTACAGCTTTCTTATTTTAACTCCACAGACTCCACCCCCTTTAGACCACGTGGATTTAGGGAAGGTGCAGACACTGGCTCTGTAGCTTCCTAAGGTTAACCACTACACCAAGGTAATGAGGAACAGAATGGGAAATGGTGTAAAGTACTTGCTGAAGAAGCATATAAACCTCCACTCCTTGGAATTCTCTCATCTTATTTTTGCCAGATTTACTCCTCTGGGTTATTCTGATCTGGTCGATGCTGGTCAGAAAGGCTCCTGTCAGTGAGGAAAGCTGAAGGTACAAAGGCTGCTGAACAAGATACCTTTAAGTAGTCCTTGAAATCAGCTTCTTCATCAGTTTTCTGCTGCAGCAATGAAGCCCCGTTAAGCTGGCAGCTGCAGAACCGAATGTAGGCCTGCATGTGTGACAGCTCTGCTGCCAAGATGTCCCCAATCATCTGTACTGGCATTTTTTCTCCTCCCGTTTTCTTACGCACTCGCAAGGCTCTAAAGAGAAAATCAGTTACCTTCCTGCCTTGCATTCAGCTGTTCTGAATGCACACATAGCATACACAGCACATACACAAAAACATGAGACAAAAACACAAGTACTCACTTCAGTAACTTAGTATTTGACATGATGAGTTCCTTCCAATTAATAAAGATCAGCCCCATTTCCCCTTCTGTGAGACAACCCGAATCAGCCATTGGCTTCTGGAAAACCTGCAATCAAAAACATCAGAAAGATGAGCAGCTCTTTGGAGAAAAAAGCATTTGCTCTCCCTTCAGTTGGGTCAGCACTGATTTTGCTTTGTTTTTTATATGATTTTTTAGATTGCTGGTCAACCACAAAACCTAACATTTCACACAGAGGGTGGTGAGGCACTGGAACAGGTTGCCCAAGGAGGCTGTGGATGCCCCATCCCTGCAGGCATTCAAGGCCAGGCTGGATGTGGCTCTGGGCAGCCTGGGCTGCTGGTTGGTGACCCTGCACACAGCAGTGAGGTTGAAACTAGATGAGCATTGTGGGCCTTTGCAACCCAGGCCTTCTATGATTCATGAGGTAAGGGAGGTGCTCACACAACCTCCTGCCTTCCCCTGGCATTTCACAATTTTTAAGCATCTCTTCACTACTATTATTCTTAAGGACAAAGGTGGTGTTTTTCCAAAGACTTCCACATGAAAGCATCTCACCTCCAGGACAAGCTGAAGATCATCCATATACCTTTCTTCTGTCTGAATGAGTTCATGGATGTAGCCCTGCCTCTTCCTTTCCATCGGCTGCATGGTATCGAGGCTTTGGAGATCAGCACACCCTACAAGAAGCAAGCCAGCAGTTCAGATACCACTCAAGCCTTCAGATGTGATGAATTCACAAAGTTACATCAACATATGCCAATCCAAGGGTCATACTATACATGAGCACTTTCTTTTAAAGCCCCTGTCCACAGCAGCACTGGGTTTCAACTGACTGTGGTTTGCACCCTGCTCTCTTTATAGCAGTTTTGAGTCTGCCACCTTTTCACTCCTTTGAGCATCCCTTCTTCCTATGCTGTGATGCAGAATAAGGATTCCTGACTTCCTGTAACTTCCTATGTCTCTTCTTTTCCGCAACGCTGTTTTCAAAGCCATGTTTTCCTTTTACCTTACACAATGTCTGCTGTGAGACGAAGTCATCTAGAACGTGTCTGGTGCTGATTTACAGCACAGCACCTTTAATCTTGACCCCGCTTCTCAAGTAATCTGCCTCGGCTATTAATTTATTGTACAAACCACCAGGACATATTTGCAAAGTTGTGATGCATAGTTTTAAGTAAGTTGTTTTCTAGTTTAGAAACCAAATGAGCCAGAGATACATTGAGTTATTCTGATGCACTGAGTACAAATAATCCAAACCATGCACGAGTACACAGAGAACATTCAATGACACAAATCCAGTTCTCTAAGGGAACATGCAGACTCTACAGTTTCACACTTTTTCTCCTCATTATCTGTGTTAGTAAACATGACCAGCAGTGTTTGAGGTTTAGTAACCAAACAACAAGTGGCAAAAACAAGCAGTAAATATGTTTAGATGGGTCAAGGAGGGTACATAAAGTGCAACTCTGATCCACCTGTTGGCCATCACGTGCTAGCAGAGCACTGCAAGGGAGCAAGGAAGAAAGAAGAAACAATTACAGTTTATTTAAGAGTATACATCGATCACTTGATGCAGCTGCATCCAATTTTGATAAAATCTACACCAGAAACGACAACAGCCAGGCGTAAAATGAGGGCTTTTCAGTTCTGCTGCGTGCATCCAGAAGGATCTTGAACTTTAAGCTTTCTAACAAGAATAAATATTGCTTCATACAAAGAGCTCTGGGTTTGCAGCTCTTCCAGCTGCAAAGAATGCTGCTTCGAGCCTTAGTTGCTTCCAAAGTTATAATGAGGATGAAATCAGAAGAAAAAAAGGAGTGAAATTTTAGCCTGGTGTGATTCCTATGAAGTTTGTATTGCATAATCCATCAAGATTGACTTTGGTCAATGTGTGCTGCTTCTGTTCTAGTGACATTCATGTACATAGCTGGATTTAAGCCCAGCTGGTTCCTGACACACTGGATTCTGGGACAGTACAGTGCAGTACAAAGTACAGTAACTGTACTTTGCTCACACTTAGACCTCAGATCTCAGCTTTGACAAAGTGCTTCTTTTTTCTATTGCAACGTGCAGCCCTCCAACAAGGGACAGCAAAGTACTGAAGCTCCTGTTGCTGTCTGCTTGCATCATAACTGTTAGAAACACACGTACTCTTGTATTTGTGTCTGTCTTGTTCCATATATGTCAAGTTGAAACAAACTCTGGGAGGCAAACACGCATTTCATACACACCAAGGATAGGTGTGATTTATAAAGCTTACTGCCAGACACAAAACAGCAGCTGACTCAGATGGCTGTGCAGTAACCCTGCACTTGGACTGTCATGGCTTTTGGGATCAGTGGATGAGTACTAGTTTACATTTAAATCATCACTGCTCAAAAAGGTCTGAGTTGGGATGGGTCTGATGCTACCACCATGAAAACATAGTGTGGAATCCATTTGTCTGACTTTAGAAGGCCTGCGTAGGCTCTGGTATCTGAAGGGAAGAAAAGCAAAGGGAGAACAGATCACCTTAACATACTTGCCAGTGTTTTCTACAGCAGCCACAGTAACCTGCTGGCTCCCTGGCACAGAATGGTGAACCTGCATCTCCGCCCATTCTCCTCCCACATTCCTGCTGCCCCTCTCCCTGCGCCAGCTCTGGCACTCAGCTTACCTCCAGCTCACAACCCTGGCAGGAAACAAACCGGGACTTTCCTGCTAGTTTAACAGCCAAGAGCCCTTGCCTGGCAGCAGAGAGCTGTTGCTTTGGTTTCTGGCTTGCAACAGCAAAGCAACACCAGGCTGTCCGAGGAACAAGATTTACTTTGCTCTCTCCTGAGCACAACATCTACAGAGCTGCTGTGAGCCTGGCACCTTTGAGTCACGGGCCCTAACCACATAGCAGTGCACTACTGACATATTTAGGACTTGAGATAAGTTCTAGGGGAACGAGGACACTTTTTGAAGGAAATCTGCTCAGGCACCACCTGCTTTGCCTAATTCCCATGGACTTCCCCATACAGCCAACAACATAAACACCCGTTTAGAAAGTGACAACTCTGGAAAGACACCTCAAGCCTCATGGAGTGCTCCAGCACTTTCCCCGAAGGATCAAGCTAGATCTAAGCAAGCCCAACACTGAAGACCACCTAGTGGCAGAGGTGGTCTATGCACAAACTGCACATGTAAGAAGTTTGGTCTGTTTAGGGCTGTAGGTTTGTTTGAGTTTGGGATGTGCTGAGTAGTGTGCTTTGTTGGTTGGTTTGTCCTTTCTGTGTGTGTCTATATTATCTTCTTCTCCTGGGCTACCACAGAAAAACACATCTTGTCACAAGTGCCACGGACCAGCATTAAGCAGTCCCTTCATTCCAGGCTGAGCGCAGACGGATGGTGTTGAACAGCACCCACTCCTGCTGGCACACCACAGCAGTGTCCTCCTGCCATGCCTGCGGAGTCAGACGCCTCCGTGCCTCCTGCAGCCCATGAAAAGGTCAGTTTCCATCAGGCTCTGGGAAACACCATCAGAATTTTGCCCAGGCTCCCCTAAATGCTGAGTACAGTCTGCGTTTCCACCACAGCAGCAGCAATTTGTGATTCAGCTTGCAAGAGGTGAAAAGCAAGACTCAGTCACTGCATCCCATACCCAGGCAGCATAACACATGTACCCAGCTATTCAAATTGGAAAAGATGTCCCCAGGTGAACAAAAAACCACAACAGACAAGCTGGGTCCTTTTATGTGTCCCTTTAATAAAGTACATTTGCATAGTTATCTTACAACTGCATTTCAACCCAAAGATGAACAATTGCCTCATGCTAAGCACAGCCTGCATTTGCATGTCCAGTCATCCTCATACGTTAATACTCCAGCTCAAAGAGAACAACAGAAGATATTTTAAGGCAGCACACACCGTTCAGCAGCAGTTTATTGGTTCATTACATGGAAGCAGCACTGCCCCACAGCAGCTCCCAACGTCACTGCAGGGCACAGTTTGCCAGCATTCCTACGAGATCTATGCACAGGTGATGAGCCCCACTCAGAAACATCACAAAAGGATACAATCTGACAAAGCGTTGGGATGGAATAAATATTGGCTGTAGGACACCCAGTTACACAGCAGCCCCCATTTTCATAGAAAACAGTACTAAGCAAGTACTGTGCTACAGGCAATGCCACCTTCTGCTCTCTTGGATGGCTTCAGATTTAACTGTTAATGCCTCGTTGCTCTGAGAAGCATTTGGGCTCTCAGGGCCAGACAGGGGATTGGCAGTTCAGCAGGTATCCCTTGTTTTCACCCTGTCCTCACCTGCTCCAAGACCAACGTTCTTCTCCCAGATTAATACAGCTTCTACAGCTACACCTTGATTTAAAATCTGCCCCTTAATACACCCTTGGCACAGCCTTTCTTACTGATAACCTGATATATGTGTACAGCTCTTTCTGTGCCAGCACGTGACAGGAGAACAGAGAGAGCTCTCAGGTGACTGTGCCTGATGTGCACGAGGGCAGGGGCTGAGGTTTTTCCAATCAGCATTGTAAATCATACTGTTATCAATATTATTAGTTAGAAGATCTATACTCAGGTAATACCGAAACGTCAGGAGAAGCTGTGAAAGCCCCCAGTGCTTCATTACAATACTCATCAGTTTAAGCAGAGGGGCAGCTGTTTCAATGGTTATTATCACCTACACACCCAAACGTGGGGCTGTTTGTGTGAGATGGTCCTCATACACCCCAACTGCACCACCCAAGGACGGGTGCAAGGCCAGCTGCTTTTGCCCAATGCTATAATGCTACTTTTCCTGCATCATTCCAGATGGGATGTAAGGTTATTTTCCTTTCCCCCCTCCCCCCGAATTAGCAGCAGTTTGGCCCTCAAGGAAATCACTGAACGTCGGGAAGTCAGCTGAGCTCCAATCCCACAGGTGAGCACTGCCTTGTGGACATGGGGCAATTTGTAAGATCACCTGATTTTTAGACCACAGGGAGGGACTGCTTGATACCACTCAGCATCTTCTAGCAGAAATACTGAAAAACGTAGCTTCAAAAGGAAATCAAGTCAGGCAGAACACTGGAGAAATTACTGAGCACGTCATCTGCCTACAGCAACATGATCTCGTTCCATAGCAAAATACTGGTTGAGACAAAATACATCCAGAGTAAAAATCCATTTGTAGGTTTCTGTAGGCACATTGCTGTGGTCAATATTGCACAAAAGAAATACCTCTGACCTAAAGGGCACATCCATACTATGGGATAAAGCATATTGAATGCATTACATAACACTTTCTACAGAGATGCTGCAGAAAGGCTGTTACATCTCTGCAGTTTGACCAACCTTTTCCTGATCGTACCTTCACAACATTCACAGATATGTAGTAAACACAGGGTGGCTTGTAAACATCTCTGATTGCATAAGTGACCTTTGCTGTTTCGTTACCGAGTTCAGAAACCAACTAAATTAAATAGATTAATTAAATTACCTACATCTGTCCTGCTCCTACAGGATCACACTAGTGATGTAGTGTGAACTAGTCGTCAGACAAGCAGCCTGCTGCTGCTGACTCCTTTCATCCAGAGGGGCATCAAGGTTACAGCCTTCTAGTTCTGCTCCTTCCCTCACATTGACAGCGGTAGCGCAGTGTAACTGTGCCCTCTGCCTTAAACCCAGATTCTCTGCCTTCAGCTCCAGGTGTCTTTCAGTGTTTTCTACCAGCACCTCTTTGCCAGGGCTGCCTATGCGTTAGGCAGGAGGGGGCTGGTAGCACAGAGGCTGTTTAAGCACTTACTGACCGCTACAATTTGCTGTTGGCCAAAACTGAAAGTGAGCTGTCAGAATAAAACACTTCAAGGACGTTGGTTATGGATAGGGCACATCGAGCCAAAGCAACCTGAATTCCTGCCATAGAGCTACTGTGAAAGAAGAAGACAAATACAGATCTTCCATTCGATGCTTAATATCTTTTTCCTCGATAAAAAGGTTATTTGGAGGCACGACTGCCCCAGACCCAACAGACATCAGCCTCAGATTGTGCGGCATATTTGTAATCACAGTGACCACCAGCAGCTGAAACAGGGAGGGTTTGTTTTCTGGGTGAGCCCTACAGGCTGTCAATTTCAAAAGCTCAATACGTAGGAGATTAAATCAAGTAAATTAAAACAGCAATCAGCAAACATTTTAATTCTGCAAAGTATGTACATTACAACATCAAAAGAACACAACTCCCCATTCAAAACAGCGCAGATAAACTGTGCAAATAGTGGGTCTTTGTGTGCCTGCAATCCCACCATGCAAACGATAACTGGATATGCATGCTAATGATCGAGGATTATCAACGCCAAAGAAAAATGCTGAAGGAAACGAGAATGAGCAGCAGTGAAAGCCACACAAAGACCCACTATCCTTTCTTTTACAAATCAACGGTAACTGTAGATAAGAAAACCCAGGATAACCTAATTTCTTGACTGGATCTAGCATTCAAGCGGAGCAAAAGGATTGTTTCAGAGATACGTGAGCAGGGCTGGCCACCCTGCCTCCACGCTACAGTCAAACTCGGATAGTGGGTCTCTGGGGTGCTTTCACACTGGAAGACAACATTGGGTCCTAAAAAAAAAACAAACAAACAAAAAAAGAAGGATAAAATGAACATAAATTCGAAGAGTGAAACATATGAGTTCTACGGACAGACAGAACAACACCAAAAAGGTTGGAAAGGAACGACCAACACAGCTTTCTGCAAACAGACATCATGCACTTCTACTCTGTAAAGCTGCAAGTTATGACCACACACAGCACTGAGCAGCTGAGGCAGTCATCGCTGACTCAGAGACACGCTGCAGTGACTCAACTTGAGAAAGTTTCTTCCCAAGGAAGCCTTCTGTTACACAGACTTTAATGCACCAAGTCAAGCCCCAGGCTCCTTGTAAAAGGCAAAATTCCCTGAGTCTTCAACAAAGCCAGGCTTCCTCCCCCCAAAAAACCTTGTGAAGAGACATTAAGTAAGCAGAGTGTAGACTTGTAATGAAAAACTTCACTGCAATTGATTCATACTGGCACACACAAATCAACCTGCTCTACTCTGTTCCAAGGCTGAAATGACAAAATCATGTCTTTGGTATTTATCCACATCATTCAATATTCTCATCAGAAACCCAAGGCTGTGAGATCTAGAGCAGGCACTGCTATGTCAGGGTAAAGGCAGATGTATGCCCTGGATTTATGGGCTCTCCTCCACCCACAGCCCAGATATGGAAGTTTGAGAAGACCTGACTGAAATTCACCACGACTTTTTAGACACACAGAGTGACAACGTGCCAATGGGGACTGATTTCACATTTGCTTCCAGGTAAAGGGGGAAAATATTCAGTCCAACAAAACCTCAGAATGTCTTGGAATCTTCACACATTAGAAAGCACACTCACATCTGTGGCATGCAATGGTTCTAAGCCACTGATTCCATGAGCTCTTACTGCCTAACCAAAACGAGAAGTTCCTTGGCAGTAACTGAGTGTTTTGATGCGTGCTGTCCATACACAGGCACTGAAACGCACCCACCCCAAGCACATCAGTGCAGAACTTAGCTCTATGAACATCCTTGAGAATGGGTCAGCTTCACTAATCAGATGATGGTGCACAGGAATTATGAACTTTCATGCACAGAGAAACTTCTGGAAAGGCAGCTCCTATTGAAAGGACAGGACTCAGCTCATCTCTCCAATATGTCATGTGTAAAGTAGGGTTCTCGGGGGGGGGGAGAAACTGGGTTGATCCAGTAGTGGTCCTAAAAACATCCAGGAAATTCACACTGCTGCCCTATGCATGCCAGAACACGTGGCAGGCCTGCATCATGGAGATACCAGCCGTGCCACAAGATCTCACCTTGGATGGATGGGGGAGCACTCAAAGAACAGAAGGTAACACACATCCCTTTAGGTAAATATACAGCTCCTTATGCTTTAACGCCTCCTGCACATCTTCTTTATGTGGATGATTTGGGACAGACATCAGAACAAGGGCTAATCAAACATTATTTAAACATGAGCAATTCTCACAAATACCAAGATCACTGAGAGCATGACTCAGTATTTCCTGTTCTGCAATGACCAAGGTCTGGGTTGCAGTAAGAGCTGCTGGCAGAGCTATGGCACCCTGAATTGTTCTTTTCCTTGCAGAGCCCTATGGCAGAATGCATGCCAACAAGAAGTCATCCTTGTCAGCACAGCTTCTTCTGCGCAGAGAGCTGCTGACACAGCTCAAGAGGTGAACCAAGGGAACCTTGTTAGGGAGGTCTGCACCACAGGATAACCAGTAAGCCCCAGGAAAGACTGGGTACAAAGGTGTTCCGTATAACCGAGCTTAAATTTGAGGAGAAAGCAGAATTATCACAAGCCTCAAACCTCTGTGAGTAAACCCAATCTGTTCCCATTCAAATACATTCAACTGGCCAGGAGAGACAGTGGGAGAAACTCGTGTCTGTAAACAGAAGCACTGCAATATTCACTCTGCCCAAGTAGAGATGACACCTGCTCTCTGCTGACTGCTGCTGCCTGGCGCTGTCAGTGCCATCTCAAAGGACAACTCTCTTCACACAGCCACAATCCAAAGGCTGAGATCAAGACAGCTTAATCAGCTACCAGCAAACAATGAGAAAGATTATCACATCAAATGCTATCTATCAAATGTTTCCAATTGCAGTTTGATCTCAGGATTGCTTTTGTTGAAAAGTTATGTTATATGTAACCATCCTGCACTCATCACATCCAGCTACACAAGTCACCAGTGTGATAAGCTAAGAGCTTTCTCATTTTTGAAAAATTCAGGAGTGTTTAATCATAGAATGGCCTGGGTTGCAAAGGCCCACAGTGCTCATCCAGTTCCAACCCCCTGCTGTGTGCAGGTCACCAACCAGCAGCCCAGGCTGCCCAGAGCCACATCCAGCCTGGCCTTGAATGCCTGCAGGGATGGGGCATCCACAGCCTCCTTGGGCAACCTGTGCCAGTGCCTCACCACCCTCTGGGGGAAAACCTCAGCCAGAACCTCAATTTCATGACCTGTACTCTATGCTGTTTTGTCCAAACTGTACGCAAACAGAATATTTCCAAAGGAAATATCAATATTTTAGATAAGCTCAATCAAAAGTAGTTTCAATCTAAACACAGCAGTTTTTGACACTGAAGTCACAGTCAGTGCATAAAATAAAAATGTGTTACCTGCAACGTTAGCACAGATGTGATTTAACTACAAATGGGGCACTTTGGCCAGATATGAAGCTTCTGAGTGGACAAGCCAAGCTTTCCAACCCAAGCTGGACCTCTGTCACCACATTTGGGAATTCTAACAACCAAACTAAGTTCATCAAATCTCAAGTGCAAGCTGCTCCCACAGAGCTGCAGGCTTTTAAGGATATACATCAACCACAGTTCCAGATGTATGCCTTTGTACTGCAAAAAATACAAGTGATGCCTGGCGAAAAAACAGCAAGTGAAGGGATGTGACTTGCTAAGTGAAAGGGACAACTTTCCCATCAACTACCCAAACCCTAACGGGCTCCCAAAGCCACAAATGCCATGGGCTGATGAAAGGTTGATTTAAATCAAGTGCCCAAGAATGAAAAGCTGAAGGAGGAGTAAGAGCAGTGGTAATTTTCTCTGAGGAAAGCTGACAAAAGAAACGATAACTAAAAAAGCCAAGAGGGTGGGGGGGGACCAGAAACATTTCCTATATTTATGTGCAAAAAAAACCCAACAAAACAACCAGGAAAACACCTGACCTTCAGACAGGCAAATATCCTGGCATTCAGGTCTCAGGCTGCTGCTGCTGATTTTCAGCTTAACGTTGTTTTAATACATACACCTCATTGATCAGAGCTGGACAGGAGCAGTTGTGAGCCAGGACTGACACATCTACCACAGATTACTTCACTTGTTAATGCTAGAATTTTCTTTTTTCTTAAATCCTTTGTGACTACTTTTACTGAATTGACAAACTGTTAAATTTAAGTTAAAGAAGACTACAGCAGACACTTTCTTCGTGGTTTATGAAACTTGTGGAAGCCCTGCAATGAAGCGTAATGCTCTTGTACTGGCTTCCAGTCAGCACCAGCTATCAAACACCAGATATCTGTACGTCAGCCTCTCTTTTAGGTGGACACCCCCCAGATGTATTGCCCTAGCTCACCCTCACACTCTCACTACTGCACTTTGGCTGTTGGTGATCTGATGGTTATTTGCAGGTTAAACAGAGAAGTATTTCAAGTACAGAGTTCCAAAGAAAAGTATTTAAAGAAAGGAGTATTTAAAATCCCAATAACTTCAGTTGACGCGTGGAACTCAAAATTCCAAGTTCAAAGCAAAAGAACAGTAATGCACTTTTGAAAGAAAGAAACAAAATGGTTTTTAATAAAATTGTTGCTTACACTGCTGACTTGGATCAGAATCTGTGGTCATCTTCACGTAGTTGGAAGGGAAGAGACCTGTCACACCATTGAGTTCTCCTTGCCACCAGTCAGCATCATCTTTGCTCAGCACGTTAATAAGCTGCCCTTTGGAGAAGCTGAGCTCGTCTTCATTGTTTGCCATGTAATCATACATTGCTATTACTTGACACACTATGAAGAAAAAGCAAAGTTAGCAGGATGCTGTGACACAAAACAGTAAGGCAGTTTTTCAGTATTTTGCACAGACACAGGAAAGAAACAACAATTTCACATGAACTGCTACAGAAGAAAAACACCAGACATGATCACAGCTTGCTAAGGAATCAAGTTTACTTCTGTCTTCCCTTGGCTCAGCACAGAAAGCGAGTTTGGTCACCTTGCAGGTTCTACTTGTAAGAAAAATGCAGCAAAGGAAGCGTGCACTGCTCATCATGTGCTGCAAGTTCCAGCAAAAGGAAGACTTGTCCAGACAACCAGGTACAACCAAAGCATGGCTGTGGGGAGCTCCACACAACCAGAAAAGCTACTCTTCTGTGAAATCATCTCATTTGTACTCAGGAATCGAAATGAAAAATACACTGTGGGATGTGCAGCTCAGTTTCCTTCTTACAAAGAGCACTGCATGGAATTCCAAGGTGCTTGCCAATGACTGCTTGTTTTCTGTAGGGTTTTGGCAAGAAGGAGTTTACCAATGAACTGAGTTTGGTTCTGCAGTGCAGGCAGGAAAATTAAAGAGCCTTACAAATAGTATAGGCTGGGGCAGGGACCCCATGCAGGATCGCTGTAAACACATGGGAGATTTTCCCTTTTGTGGACAGAGATTAAATCTGAAGGACACATGCCAAAAGACTCAGATTCCGACTAGGACTTCACCTTCTACAGCAAAGCACAGCAAGATAAAGCCATTAAACACAGTGTTAATTCAAATTAGTATGTGAACAATCCAAGCAGTTCAATAACAGAAGTGAAATGAAATACAAATAAAACCATTTTTTCACCTGAGGGGGCAGCAGATGTGGTTCGCTCACTGCTCGGACCCAGTAACTTCACATGGCTGGCAGGGAACCATCCTTTCTGTCTCTTTTTCCCTCTTGCCTGTAGAAATGGTTATTACACAGTCAAGAAACAAAACAGCATAAGGATTGGAAAAACACAACAGATGCATCACACAGCTCTGCCTATGGAAAACAAAGTTGGTCTTTCAACAGCAATTAAGCACTAAGCATCTCAGAAGCTAAGATCTGGCTAAAGGATGAAACAACCAAACTCAAATAAAGCTGCATCTTAATATGCTCTCACAAATCTGTACATTCAAAGGTTTTAAGTGCAGCTAATTATTTCAGTGCACCATTTCACAGTAGGGCTATATATCTGCTCTACGAAAATTCCACTTACACATCAATTAAAGAGTCTCAAATGAGGTACTGCCACTTTCCAACCAGCTTTCAGAGCGCTCTACTCAGCGGCTCATCTCAAATTGAACCAAACAACCCCTCACTGCTGCTCATCAAGCCACAATGACTGTTCCTCCAATCACTCACCTGCAGCTCTCCTTGCCACCATCCGCTAGCATTTTTCTTCAGGATAAGTATGAGCTGCCCAGGAGCAAGACTAAGCTGTTCACTTCCTGATGCAGCATAAGCAGTAGTCACCTGAGCAATTTCTGAAAAGAAAGCATATGAATTGTCTTTGTTATACTTTCACTACGATAAGGGCTACTTCCAAAGAAAGAAGCTGCTATTTCTCTTGTAAGCAAGCACACTGGCAGACCTTAGAACACTGCTATGAACACACATGCCTTATTAATCACTTAAAACACAGTCCAAAATGGTGAAAAGTTGTAACGCACTCACCAGGTTTCTTATTTATTGTTCCAGTTTTGCCAGCATTACTAGAACCCTGTAACAAAGACACAACAATATTCTTTTCATGTTTAATAAATCCAGTGGAGTTTATTTACCCTGTTTTTAAGCATGTGCCACGTAGACGGAGGCTTCAACTCTGAGCCTTAATTTAACAAAACACCAAGATCCTGCACCAAGAGCAGCAATGGGACACTGTGGTTAGAGCAATCTGGGACTCGAGTCCCCTAGGATCCTCTTTCTATCAAGCAATTTAATCTCTGCTTAACATCAGCATATCAGTAACAGGTATCAAGAACAGAAACACACTGAAACAGAAAAAAGCATCACGAGTTACGCAAGACTTGAAGTAAGAACTCACTTCTTGATCCTTTGGTCTGACATAATTGGAGGGGAAGATCCCAGTTCTGTCATCAATGCTCCCTGTCCACCATTCCCCTTCCTTGTGGGTCACCAGGATTTCCTCACCTTCAGTGAAAGTCAAGTCTCCAGGCTCAGAGCTTGAATAGGAATACAGTGCAACGTACTCTGCACAAACAGCACATAGGGGTGGAGAGAACAGTTTCAGATACGAGGATAAAAGTCCATCAGACACAAACATCTTGGATGTCAGCACCCCTCATGGTGTCCATAGTGTGGATCACATCACAGAATCATAGACTGGCCTGGGTTGCAAAGGCCCACAGTGCTCATCCAGTTCCAACCCCCTGCTGTGTGCAGGTCACCAACCAGCAGCCCAGGCTGCCCAGAGCCACATCCAGCCTGGCCTTGAATGCCTGCAGGGATGGGGCATCCACAGCCTCCTTGGGCAACCTGTTCCAGTGCCTCACCACCCTCTGGGGGAAAAACTTCCTCCTAAGATCCAACCTAAACCTCCCTTGAATGTCCTGGCAAGCCTGTGAAGCAACCCTACCTTACAGACTGCTATCACAGCTTGCCTTGTGCTCACACCTCTGACTTAAGGATACACAACGTTTTACAGATATGAATTTGGCAGTGAGTTACCACACTTGGAACAGACTGCAGATAAGCAGAAGCCTGGGGAACTTACACCCAATTGTAGGAAGCAAAAAAAAACAAACAAACAACACAAGCAATCAAACAAAATCAAACCCAACCAACCAAAACCAAGATGGCTACGCTCAACCTGAATTAATTACAAATATTACTGAAGTTCTCATTTTTGGATTCTCCTAACAATAGCTCAGCGTTTGCACTGTATTTTCTGGACAAGCACTACAGGAATTGCTCAGACACGTCTCACATATTTCAGCTCCATCACACACTGTTATTCACTCTTACCTTCTCCCGCTGGGTAGAGCTGTGCACTGGACTTCTTCTTTACTGCTGCATAAACAGCTTCTGGTCTGCAGAAATTAAAAAGGATGTTTGAATAATCAAACTGCTGACCAACACATCTCTTTATTAGGATGAGCCTAAGCTCGCTTGAGTGTCCCCAAGTTGCTATTTTTTCATTACAGAAGTTCCCTCCACTTTTAAAAAGGTGACAGATATCACTGGTTTTAAGACCTGAGCAGCAACCAAGAGCACACCACACCCCAAAGATCGATGTCATACTATAAAACTAGAAAGTATTATTTACCAATTGTTCACATCCATAAAGATTTTTGCCCAAATTCTCTCATTCTGTAGTATTTCTAAGAACTTTCATCATAACACGATGAGAACAACTCACACACAATGGTGCAGCCACCCCAGCATTAACCAGACTTCAGTAAATACCCTGATGAATCATCAGCCACCGCTGACTTTTCACAGCACTCACCTTGTAAGGCTGTTTATTTACACAGCAGTGAGCCCAACATTAATTGGCTTCCAAGAATGAAATAATAAAAGTGTAAATCAGTGTAATCAAAGAGCATTCAGAATCTGCACTGCAATCACTTTGCACCCTGGAACACCTCCCTCTGCAAACTGCCAAATAAAATACTAGCCAAAGTTACACTTACTCCTCTTTCTTCTCACTTCCAGGTAAGAGCTTGACATAAGACTTGGGAAACCAACCCCTTCCTCCATGCACCTCTCCAAACCACCAGTTTTCCTGCTGCTCCAGGACAGAAATGATATCATTTTTGGAGAAGTTCAAGTGGTTATCTTTTTTTGCAGTCCAAGAGCAAAGTGCTTGTGCTTTCAAGTTCTCGACGGGCTGCCCCTGGTAAGACAGAAGCAGAGATGTGTTCGCACTCACCCTCACTGGTGTGGGTGTTAAACATGCATTGATGCATCAGTTATTGCAGTCCAAGCAAGTTCATTCCTAACTGTTATTTTTTTTTTCTTGTCTGGTCAATGATTTACAGAGGTGACTAAGAAACAACCTCCACTGTTTCCTATCTCACAAACACCTTGTGTCTTTAACTACAGGTGAAACTATCCTAACTCAGAAACGCACTGCACGTGCCCTTTTGGTCCCCACTCCATGGATGGGTGGAATTATGTCACAACACAGAATGTACCTGTCCATGAATGGGTGACACAGATCCAGGGGACACAGTGCGGGTAAAAGCTGACTTCTGTTGCCACGCTGCATTAACGTTCAGGCTGGAGAAATGTACGTTCTGGTAATCTGACTCTTCTACAGATCTGCTTGGTGAAAGTGGTCTGCAGATTGAAGACAGACGTAATAAACACACAGCACTTTTCATTTTAAAAGCACTTCACGTAAAATCACTTCTTTTTTTTTTTAAATATAGATACAAACAAGTAATACTACTTGTGGATACTACTTGTATCTACTTGTACTAGTTGTGGATGCCCCATCCCTGCAGGCATTCAAGGCCAGGCTGGATGTGGCTCTGGGCAGCCTGGGCTGCTGGTTGGCAACCCCGCATGTAGCAGGGGGTTGGAACCAGATGAGCACTGTGCTCCTTTGCAACCCAGGCCATTCCATATTCTACACAATGAAAAAAAAGCCTATCAAATACTTAAAATATGCAAGCTGTGACTTTCCAATAGGTTTTTCAGTAAGTTCTCTTCTTTTAAAATATCACTGACACCACGCAGCACATTGCCTTAACTCTGAACAAGCAATCTGAACACAAATATAACAAAACTCACTCTGAAGTAGCTGAGGTAGTAGATAAAGATACTGTAGGAGGAAGTAAGGCCTTCTTTGGAGACAAAGCTTTTTCTCCTTCTGGTATTCTTTCCACATAATTGCACGGAAACCAACCAATACGTCCTTGGAAGCTCCCATAAAGCCAGCCAGGCTCTCCAACATTTTTTTCATCAACCTACGGACAGGAGGATAAAAATACAAAGAAAACATAATTTGCAGTGTGAAACAACAGGATATCTATCACATGTCAGCACCCACTGGTAGACCAAACAGCACGAGCAGCACTCGCAGGGGCAGCATTTGCAATTCTGTCTCCTCCCAGAGTTGAGCTGATTACACACCGGTGGTGATGCAGCTGTGCTGTGTCTCCAGCAGCTCCCCAGGTAACAGAGCAACTCAGTGACTTGTGGAGGCAAGCAGGGACAGCCTCAGGTGTTGCCTTCAAATGGGGCCCAAAACCACACAACACTGAGGGTCCACAGACGACGCCAGGAGTAATTCTGGCTTGCCATTATGATGTGTTGCAATTTCAACTGCATGGCCAAGAATCAGTGGCTGGCCAGCCAAGCAGCACATGAAAACTGGTGCAGTTTTAAGAGCTGTGCTGCTCTTAAGTGAGGAAGCCCAAATATTTCTCAGTAATCTTAATTTTTTAATAAAAGACAAAAATGTGCTGAGCCTCCAATAACTTTATTCACAAGGCATCCAAAAATTTTCTTGTTTACTGTAATGATTAAGCGTGGAGCATTTGTGCTACACACCCATGTCAGTATGGAGGTCTCCATCGTGCTGCCTATCATCAAAGGCAGAGGAAGAAAAAACAGGCTAAAATTAGCAGCTAACCAAATCCCAGCAGCCAGTCAGCTTAGTTGAGGTTGGCGGTAGAAGAGGAGGTGGTGGCTGCTGGTGTATTTCTAAAATAAGACAGCTGCAGTTCAACAGCTAATTGTGTCTGAAAAGGAAGCCAAAACAACACAAACCACTTTTGTTTCCTCTGAGGGTCAGAAGGGAACTGTTTTGTGAAGTGTGAAGTACAAATGGCAAATCTCACCTGAATTATATCTCCAGTATTAAAGCTCATCTCATCATGATTCCTCGCCTCAAACGGATACAAAGCTCTGTAATTCACAAAGGCAACAGAATTCCTGGATTCTGAAGCACTGATGGCGTTGCCTGAAATGATAAGAAAACTCATCATCATTCAAGGCCAGGCTGGATGTGGCTCTGGGCAGCCTGGTCTGCTGGTTGGTGACCCTGCACACAGCAGGGAGGTTGAAACTAATGATCACTGCGGTCCTTTTCAACCCAGGCCATTCTATGATTCTATCTTTCAGCACCCCAGTTGGTTCTCACTAAACTCAGTTAATTAAACTGGCTAATGAGAACTGGCAAGAACTAAAGAAAGCTGAGTTGCAGTAAAGTCACCTTCCGGGAAAATATTGTTAAACAAGGATTTCTGAATACCTACAGAGAAAGCCAGGTTGACTTCAGTTCTTTTTTTGTTAAGCAGAGGCACTGAATGGTGCAAAAAGCAGCGGATTTCAGTGTTAACAAATCACTGAGGGTTACCTGTGCATCCACTCACCACCTGACAAAGCTCCATGTTAGCCTTCTGCTTTAATGACAGAGAGATCAGGCCTTACAAAAAAGCTACAGTAGTTCTGCTTCCAACAATACCTACACTTTGTTAGCCACAATCCCTGGAAGATTTGCCATTGGGGCCATTGGTGGCAAAAACGGAGCAAATCACAGAATCACAAGGTTGGAAACGATCACCCAGTCCAACCGTCTTCTCATTACCACTGAGAAACTGATAAAGACAAACTGGATCAATAGGATGATTTACAGCTAACTAAAGACATGGAACGTTGTGTTTTGCTTATAACACGAGGCAGTAAGTGCCACGGCGTCACAGTAATACACCTAAGGAATGAAAAATGACTTAGGAAAACAAGAACCACCAAGGCAACAATCTAACTAAGATTACCTTCATTGGTCCAGGGTGGCTTAAGACTTTTACCCTCTGTTGGTTTCAACAGATCTCCAAACTTCTCACTTATGTTTAATTTAGCAGCACATTTCTCTGCCTCATGAGAAGTGGTGGCTTCTTTTATCTTTTTTATTTCTTCATTCTGCTTACGCCTCTCCTCAGCTTCTTTTGCAATTTGTTCTTGCCTTCTTTTCTCTTCCTCCAGTTGCCTCTGCCGTTGTTCTTTTTCTCTCAAGATCCCAGCTTGCTTATTTTTCTCCTCCTCTTCATGAAGCTTTTCCTGAACCTTTTCCTGCATTCTCTCCTCCTCTAATCGCTTCTTCTTCTCCTCCTCTTCCCTTCGGATATTTTCCTGCCATCGGTTCTCCTTCTCCCTTTTTGCTTTCCTTAAAAAAGGAAATGAGAAAGAAGTAGGAGAACATTCATCTAGAATTGAAAGAGATTCTATTCACAGAATAATCAAGTGGACTTGTAAACGAATCTGAATCTATGATATCAGTCACTTTTCTCACTGGACAATCAGCTCTTCCACAGGAGACTGCTTTATCTACACAAGAGTGCCAGGATATCCCACGTGTAAGTAATAAATGGATTTGAATTCTTAGTACAGGGGACTGCCACACAGATACCTGCCTCCTCGTACACTTCTGCTCGCCTACACACAAGCAAGACAGAAGTGCATTCATTTAATAAGGGTGGCTTGAAGCTGCCCACCATGGCAACAAGCTTCCAAGCCCCATGACTGAAAAGTAAGATTTCCAAATAGATGAGTAGTAAAATTACGTTCTGTTATAACCATAGGAATAGTCTTTGCATGCTACCTTTGTTGCTTTAGCTCTCTGTTTTCAGCACCTACTCAGTGTTTATTGCACCACCGCTGCCACACTCTTCAGCTACTAAGGATAAAATGGGTAGCAGAGAGTCAGGAGAGGAGAAAAACAGTGGCATCTTAGGACAGCAAGTTTAAAAGCCCAAAAACTACTGTTTCTTAGTCAGCAACACAAGAGAAACTACACTTATTGGGAATGAAAAAGCAAGAGGCAACAACGGAAAAGCTTGATTTCTCAGTACCAGCTGAGCAGCGCAAAACCAGCACTTCGTACATGAACCAGGGCTGCTGAAATGATTTGCTCAAAGACCTATCCTAACGTTCTGGTCCTCCTCCTAAAACAGAAATCAAACTTAAGTTAAAAATGTAAGTTACTGAGTTCCCAAGATTAACACAGGCAGTGGCACAGCTGCACAGGGAGGTGGTGGGGTCACCGTCCCTGGAGGCGTTCCAGAGATGTGGGGATGTGGCACGGAGGGACGTGGGCAGTGGGCATGGAGGGGTGGGTTGGGGTTGGGTTTGGGGATCTGAGGTCTTTTCCAACCTGAATGATTTGATGACTTAAGAAGTCAATGTCCTCCCTACTGTGTAAGTACCATCTCACAATAGAATGAATATACACAACAAAGAACTACTACCACTACTACTACTACTACTCAAGAAGAAGTGATTTTAAGGAAATATTTAAGAACTTTCCAAAGGTAACAAAACAAGGAGAAAACATGAGGAATTGCAGATGTGTGAGAATTATCTATCTGCAGTACTACAACCAGGCCTGGGGCCCCCAGGACATGAAGGACATAGAGCTCTTAGAGCAGGTCCAGAGGAGGGCACTGAGATGATCAGGGGGCTGGAGCACCTCTCCTGTGAGGAAAGGGTGAGGGAACTGGGCTTGTTTAGCTTGGAGAAGAGAAGACTACAGGGAGACCTCATTGTGACCTTCAAGTACTTGAAGGGAGCGTAAAAACAGGAGGAGAACGGCTGTTTAAAGGATGAACAGTGATAGGACAAGGGGAATGGTTTTAAACTGAGACAGGGGAGGTTTAGGTTGGATATCAGGAGGAAGTTTTTCCCCCAGAGGGTGGTGAGGCACTGGAACAGGTTGCCCAAGGAGGCTGTGGATGCCCCATCCCTGCAGGCATTCAAGGCCAGGCTGGATGTGGCTCTGGGCAGCCTGGGCTGCTGGTTGGTGACCTGCACACAGCAGGGGGTTGGAACTGGATGAGCACTGTGGGCCTTTTCAACCCAGGCCATTCTATGATTCTATGACAAAAGAAGCTAAAATGTTAATAGAAAAAGTGTTGCTTGGTTTATTTGCCCTTCACACCTGAGTTTCTAAATTCCACGAAAAGATAAAAATAGATCAGAAAAAGGAAATGCAGAACGCCTTGTATTGGTGGTACTCCATTTAAACTGCTTTTCTCAAGGCAACTAAGCAGGATGTATTTTTGCCAATTATACTTCCTGTGTATTAAAATCAGTACCTGAAAGACACCCTGGCACTCCTTTGCTCTAAAAACTGCTATGCTGACACACTTTAAGACATGGTACCTTGCAGCTTCATCTTCCAGCCGCTTTTTCTGCGCAAGTTCGGCTCTTCTTTTCTCTACCTCTCTTATTTTGCTCTGTTTGATCTTATGGAGCTGCTCCAAGGCTAATTGCTGCGTGCTGTAGCTTTCTCTCAGGTCCTAATAAGGAAACACAATAAAGTACATCATAAGAAATGAAACCAATCTTTTAGGAAGCACCCGAGCACTGTAACGCTTCGTGAACCAAACTATTATTTTATCCATACAAATGAACAACGTAACACTGAGTTCTTAACAGTCCTTGAAGGTCACTGCAGAGTCAAACAAACTGAAGCATGAAAACAGCTGGCAGGTTTGCAAGTCCTTTCATAGAACTCGGGCTTTCAAAGCGCCCTTCAGACAAACACCTGCTGGAAACAGCAAATGTGACAGGAAACAGGGAGAAGCGTCACGTTTCCATACAACACTGTGTAAGGACAAAGACGACAGCGAAGCACGCTCTGAACAACCACAAAACACACTGTTGGAGAGGCAGGCTTCAACTGAAAGCCAACACAATGCCATAAAGCTGAGAATACACCCCCAGCATCCCCCCCCTTTGCAACGTTTCTGTTCTTTCTCTCTATTCCCAATTGTAAAACACAACAACAAATTGCTGCATGCAAATGGAAGACTGGAATTATTTGAGCAGAATAGGAGGGATCAGTTCCATAACTCAATCAAAAAGCTTAAGAACATCCTCAGTAGGCTTACCATTGCAGGCAGCTACAGCCTAACACTCACACTGCCTTCTTCCTCTATGAACTTCTACTTTTGGGGGCACATTCTTCAGTTCCTATTTCACCTCCCTCTGATAATGGACATTTTCACAGAACACAGAGCATGAATCTTTGGGATAATTACATTTACAGGAAAGAAAACCAGCAACAATTTGAGTACCTCAAGAACTTATTTTGTCACAGTACAAAGCTAGACGTCACACTACCATGAGGAATCCTACTGACACACACTGAGCTACAGGTGCACTCTGCCTTTCTGTATCTGATATGAAATGCAAATAAAGCAGTTATCAGTGATCTGTTCCCACCACAGTAAGCACTGCCAACCACAATCACAGTGCCTGAGAAAACTGCAATTCCTATGAACAAGATTTCTGTGCCAGTGAAAGTCTCAAACACATCTACTTGCTACTGTTTTTTTCCCAAATGTATTCAGTTGAAAATATTTTCTCATGCTACACAGAAACTGAGGATTGCTATGGAAACAAACTCTCATATCTTTGATTTAAGAAGGAAAAAACCCAAGCCAGATTTCTGACACTAGCAGACAAAAGCAGCATGGAGGAAAAACAGGAAGCAAGTTTTAGTGCAGGGTTAATCTGCAGGTTTAAAAGCATGGCTGTCGCTGTGGCATGTCATCACCTGGGCACTGACACCACTTCAGTCCCAAACTCAGGATTCACATGCCTGACTCCATATACATGACTTGAGGGCCAGAGCACCTCCCCTACAAAGACAAGCTGAGGGAGCTGGGTTTGTTCAGCCTGGAGAAAAGAAGGCTTCAGTACCTAAAGGGAGCCTACAAACAGGAGGGGAATCAACTCTTTGAAAGGGCAGATAACAGCAGGACAAGGGGAAATGGTTTGAAGTTGAGGGAGGGAAGCTTTAGGTTGGATGTCAGGGGAAGTTCTTTACAGAGAGAGTGGTGAGGTGCTGGAACAGCTGCCCAGAGAGGCTGTGGATGCCCCGTCCATCCCTGGAGGTGTCCAAGGCCAGGTTGGATGGGGCCCTGGGCAGCCTGGGCTGCTATGAAATGGGGAGGTTGGTGGCCCTGCATGTGGCAGGGGGTTGGAGCTTCATGATCCTTGAGGTCCCTTCCAATCCAACCATTCTATGATTTTGTGATTCCCAGCTTCAGGTGCATGAACTAGACATGGTGAGACACAGAGAGAGCAACAGATGGAAAGCAAGGAGAAGACACTGCTTCCATCTTACACAGTGCTCTTTTTGTTGATGTTACCTTAACTAAAAAGAAACAGTTGAGTAAAACAACTTAAACACAGTCCATTAAGAAATAAAATAGCTATCATCACTTTGCAGCTTGGCTTTCTAAGCAGGTAAACAAAATTGTACATCTTTATGAGGATTTAAAAGCTAGCAGAAAGAACAAAACTACTGGTTTTCTTTTAGGAAAATTTCTTTAACATAAGTTACATATCCAAACAGAAAGGGTAAGCAGAGAAAAAAAATGCGAAATAATTAAAAAGCAAAAGAGCCAAAGATTAGAAAATAACCTTAAGTAAGAGGAAGAGGTTGTTGAGACAGCTTAGCAGAGACAAAAGGCACTGAAGAACAGAATCATCCATACTGTCACACTGTAAGATAAGGCAGATAAAAAGCTAATTAATCTTTGCACTGTATTTTGGAAAACATTTTTTAGGGCAGACTAAACAGCGGATGCAGCCACTGAACACAGCAAGCCATGCAAGCATACAAGGAACTCAAACTGCACGTCACTGATGTTTCATGCAGCCTGTCCTTCTTCCAAGAAAAGAAACTCTTAGCAGTGCTTACAAATTCAATCCCTGTCCTTTTCGATGGCGAGTGCAGAGCCCTCGCGTTGGCCCAGCATAAATGCACTGCGTAGGAATACAGTTCACATCACTGCCACTGAGAGTAAACCAGGAAATAAAGTTAAGTGGATGCATGCCTGAGCACTGGGTGCGTTTTTAGGTACATCAAGAGTTGCTGCTGAAACAAAAGTAGTTTTAGGGCCAGCAGTCAACATTTACCACCTTATCCTCAAAGCAGCAGCCTATGCTGACTTACAGAACAACACCTAAGTCTGCTACTGGGTCCTGGGCAGTGTGCTGTGAAACCCTGCGCTCCTTCCAACAGGAATTAAAACTCCACGATTCAAAGATTGTAGCCCATAACAACACTGTATAACCCCATAAAAAAAGAACCAGAGCCTCAGAAACCTCAATTCCAAAGCAAAGGTTGAGAGTGAGCAACAGTCGATTCATGCAAAGCAATGATCAGCTAGATGTTGATATTTTAGTACATCGGGATAGCTTCAAATGAATTTTTCTTGTGCTACAAGACTTCTGTTCATTCTTTTGTGACACTGAAAGTTGGGAAGACCTTTTGGAAGCGCCAGCAATCTTTCCACATGGATGAAGAAATAGACTCACTGTACGCAGTCAGAGAACACACGTACCTTCAGCTGGCTGTTAAACGCATCCATTTCAGCAAGCTTAGCAGCAGTTTCTTTCTCAAGGGCATCTAATTGTTCCTTAAGTCTTTGGCATAATTCTTCCTTTTCTAGAGACTTCTTTTGCACTGAAGCAATTCCTGCATCTGCATTAGAAGACAAACAACTTTCTGTTCTCATCAAGTTATTTTCTCCCCAGCATACATACATACATCCCCAAATTCCTTCCTTACAAAAATCCTTTGACTTACCCCCCTGTTTGCATACAGCACCAAGAAGGGGGCCAACATCCACCTGACACATAGAGGCATTACGTGTAGCATGGAATGCTTTACAAATGGTTTTTTGTATCATGCTGGATCAGTTCATAGCAACCTTCTGAAGGCAGGAATTTGCAGCGTGCTTTGATACAAAGATCAGTGTAAACTTTTAATGAACCCCCCTGACTTAATGCTACCAAAAACACACTGTGTAACAAGGATCATTGTATCTGAGGATGGCACAGTCTGCAGAAAGGAAGTTTTAAGCAAACTTTGTTTCTCACAAAAATGTGCTTGTTTGCTTCTTATTCACAACACAGTAGAAGCAAAGGAACACAGATGCAACAATTCTTAGGTGGCTCTCACTGAAAAGATATTAAAACAAAGGCAGGATTGACCCCTCTGTATCCTACAGCTTATTTTTTTAATCAGCATGACATGAAATGACAAAAACCCAGCAACGTGAACCAGGACTCATCTGCAGGCACTTACTTTGAGTGCTGTCGAGTTGAACGTTTTTAATTCTCTCACTTAACAACTGCTTTTCAGGAACTAAATAAGTCAGCTTATTCTGATACTCCTGTAGATATTGAAGAGAACATAACACATTTTTAATACTGTGTATATATTAATGTGCAAAAATTTTCAAACAGAACCCCAAGGCACTTCAATGAAACATGGATGCGAGTTAGCACTACAGGGAGGAGGAACAACTACTTCTATACTCCCTGTGTGAACAACATTAACACCAAATAACTTTTTAATCTTTAAATCGTATCACAGTTGGAAAAGAAGTTAATAGATTTATTAAAAGTGGAAACTATCATGAGAACAGAGCTGCAAGCTTCTTAGAAGGAACAGGACAGGGGTGGGGGAGTTGCCCTCTAAGTTAAGAAGAGAGACTGCAAAGAGCTGCAGAAACTGATCATCAAGTTGAGAGCCTGTGGGTTAAAATCAAGGACCAGACCAATGAAGGACATCTGGTGGTCAGGGTCCACTACAGGCTGCCTGAACAAGGGGATTCTGTGCATGAGGCCTTCTTGCTTCAACTGCAGGGAATGTTGTGCTGGCAGACTCTCATCTTGATGAAGACTTCAACCACCCAGATGTCTGCTGGGAAAGCAACACAGCAGGCAGCAAGCAATCCAGGCGACTCCTGGAGTTTGCTGAGGATAACTTCTTGGTCCAAATACTGGACAGATTAACCAGAGGTGAAGAGTTGCTGGATCTGATGCTCACCAGCGCAGAGATCGTGAAAGAGGTTAAGGCTGGGGGCAGCATGGGCTGCAGTGAACATGGCCTGGCCGAGTTCATGATCTCGAGGAATACAGGCCTAGCAAAGAACAGAGACAGGACCCTGAACTTTGGGAGTAAGAATTTCTGGCTGTCTGATGAAGAGCCAAAAGGTCTAGGCAGGGCACGAGGGAGCAAAATCCCCTTCCCCTCACTGTAAGAGCAGAACAAGTCCAAAACCTTCTCATGAGGCTGAATGCATACAAGTCTACGGGGCTGAACAATATGCATCCCAGGGTCCTGGAAGAACTGGCTGCTGTGGGTGCCAAGCTGCTCCCCAGCATATCTGGAAAGTTGTGACTGTCAGGCAAAGTCCCTGGTGAGTTCATAAAAGAAAACATCTCTCCTGTTTTCAAGAAAGAGAGAAAAGAAGACCTAGGAAACTACATGTTGGTGAGCCTCCCTTCTGTGCATGGGAAGATCTTGGAGCAGATTCTCCTGCAAGGCATGTTAAGGCACACGTGAGATGAGGAGGTGATCTGAAACAGCCAGCAGGGCTTCACCAAGGTCACATCGTCCCTGACCCACCTGGTGGCCTTCTGTTATGGAGTGATGGCACTGGTAGACAAAGGAAGGGCAACAGCTGACGTATGCAAGGCCTGTGACATGGTCCTGCACCACATCCTTATCTCTAATTGGAGAAATATGGATTTGAGAGCTGGATGGATTATTAGTGGATAAAGAATGGAAGGTTGCAGCCAGAGAGTTGCTGTCAATGGTTGTACGTCCAGGTGGAGGCCAGTGACAAGTGGTGACCCCAGGGGTCCATCATGGGACCAGTGCTCTTCAACATCTTTGTCAACAACAAAGACAGGGAGATAGAGTGCAGCCTCAGCAAATGTGCAGATGACACCAAGCTGAGTGGAGCAGCTGACACAACAGAAGGAAGGGATGGCATCCAGAGAGACCTGAACAGCCTCAAAAAGATGGCCACAAGAACCTAATGACGTTCAACAAGGCCAAGTGGAAGGTGTTGAACTTTAGCTGGGGCAATCCTGGATATGAGTACAGAGACCAACTTTTTACAGAGTTTGATAGTAGTAGGTCGAAGGGAAATGGCTTTACACTAAAAAAGGTGAGATTTAGGTTAAATGTTAAAAAGAAACTATTTGGTCAAAGAGTGGTGAGGCATTGGCACAGGCTGCCCAGAGAATCTGTGGTTGTTCCATCCCTGGAGACGTTCAAGGCCAGGCTGGATGGTGCACTGAGCAGCCCGAGCTGATGGGTGGCAACCCTGCCTACAGCAGAGGGGTGAAAGTTGATGGGCTTTAAGGTCCCTTCCAACCTAAGCTGTTCTATTGACTGCCTCAAGCCTAACACAGAAATCCTCACCAAAAACTGAGGCTGGAACCATGAAAGTAACAAAAAGAAGTCACTATTATCAGTTCAAAAAAGTTTTGACTACTGTCTCCATTCAACTATCAGCTTGTTGTAGCATGCAATCAATTCTTTAGCACCACAGATGAACCTAAAAGCCTCTGCAACGTGGATGGCCTCGCAGATTCAAACTGATACACTGTTCCTCCTTGCTGGAGCACACAAAATTACCCAAACACAAAACAGGAAATAAAGGAGAATTAAAAGCTTAACAGAAAGCGATGTACCTGAAGTTGCTGTTGTAGTTGCTTGACTTCCATAATTCCTTGGTCACATTTTCTATCTAAAGCCTCCAGCTCAGTCCTCCGAATCTGCTTCTTGCTTCGAATATCCTGCAATCTGCCGGAGATTTGCTGATGTTTGTCCGTCTAGAAAGAAATCAGAGTAATGACACTACATGCAGCAACAAAACCTTTCTCCATACATCCGTGGAGAAAGTGTTTGATTACAACACAGTCAATTCCCTAACAGAACTCAAAAATACTTGGTTTAGATTGCTCATCCAAAGCAGAGTAAAACTCCCAGCAAACCATTAAGTCTATGTTCTAAGATTTGCACATTTCAAAATATTGCATTTCATTTCAAGTTGGGCAGTGAAACGTATGCCTTACCAGAGCTTCTAATTCAAGATTAAGGCTCTTCTTCTTAGAGGTCAACTTGATAATTTCTTCTTGTTCTCTGTTACGCTGATTAAGAAGTTCTTGGCGACGAATTCTCTCCCATTCCAAACGCCGCTGGCGCTCCAGTTCTTGCTTTGCTGCCTATAGAGAAGTTACACTGCTTTAAATCACCACGCAGGTACAGAACCCTGAGATCATGCTTTAATACAATGTGCTCAACTTGTAGGCAGTGTAACAGTAACACAATGTATTGTTTTTCTCAAAATGTCTTTATAAACATCAGCGTCAAAGAACGGCGGAAGTGATCCGCCAGGATTCTTCATGCCACGCTCCTATCCCTGGTAAAGGAAAGCAATTTGATGAAAGATGCATAATTCAGAGAGGAAAAAAATCTACTTAGCTTAGAAAACTGACCACAAATGAGCACGCTGAGGTATTATTCCTAGCCTCTTTCGAGTATTTCACAGATCTACCTAAAACATGAAAGCCTTATGCACACACTGAGATACCAGACAGAAGCAAATCTGCCTGAAGTTCAAACAGCAAAATATTATCAGCTGTCAATTCAGTAGAGTCTTGTTTGGAATACAGATATATTTTTAATTAAAACTAAGAAATCTATCCAACAAGCCTCATCTGTCCTTCGAAGAATCCAAAAGTCTTGGATTCAAACACCACTTTGTTCATTTGTAACACACACTATTTTCAGACAGAAATGCCATTCTCTCTCTCCAGGAGAGCCTGCCATTGGCCACTCAGCGAGAATGAGTCGAGGTCAGTGCCCAAATCCTGAGTGCTCCACCAAGTGAACACCACGTGCACACACACATTCCTTAAAGCATTACAAAAACAATGTCAAGAAAACAACCTCCCGCCTTTCTATTTCTTTCCTCCTTTCTTCTTCCCTTTGTCTTTCCAGCTCTCGTTGTCTCTCCAGCTGCCTTTCCAATTCAAGCTGTTTTTTCCGTTCCTGCTCCTGACGTTCCCTCTCTCTTCGTTCTTGTTCTTCTCTTTCTTTCTGAGCCTTACGTTCTGCCTCTCTCTGCTGCTGTTCCAACAGGACCTGACGGCGTTTTTCCAGCTCCACGTTTCCTCTCTCATAGTTTGCTTTTCTTTTGTCCTCAAACGTCACTAAAACAAGGAAAAGGAGTTACTTCTGTCCTGTGCAAAACACTGCTCTCCAACAAGTGCCTCAGTTATGCCACTAAAGATAGGTATTCTCTTTTTGGCAAGTTCAGGTAGTCAGGTCACGACGATGGAAGCACTTGGAATTCTTTCTAGCATTATTTTTCTTCTCAAAAATACCTTCAAACTTTCCTAAGTCTATTCCAATTGCAAAAACATTGCATTTAAAACTGACCAAGAAAATGGTTTTAATTTTAAAGGAAACACAAAGGAGCAGCTTTTACAAGCTGAGAGAAGTCAATATTTTGTTACAGAGGTTTTCCACTGAGCAAGAAATGTTAACACACAGAGTGAGCCTTAAAGGGCGTTCCCTGTAAGATCTCCTGGAGTTAAAAACAGCAGAAAACAAAACAGGATTAAGCTGAACTACAGCAGGATAAAAGGAGACTGAAAGGAGTGACTGAGGCTCCCAGCAGCCACTCTTTAAAAAGGGAGGCACGTTGAGTCCCACACTGCACACACAACAGACCGTTGCCATCAGGCAGCCAACAGCAGAATTGACTTTTGTGTGCAACTCACATCTTGTCTTTAGATAATTAAACAACATTGGGATCTCTTGTTTTCAGAATGTCCAGAACAAAGTACTGCCAGTAACACTCAGCAGCAAAAAAATTTTGCAGTAGCACTGCAGTAGTTGAAAATGAAAGATTTATTTTCCAAAATACATTATTAATCAGCACACTTTTCCATTCCTACAGCTAATAATAGCACCCATCTCTGCCTTCTCCTTTTTATTAGATGTCATAGGCTGACTACAGCCACTTAACAACCCTCCTACCGTCCAAGTTAAAAGGGATCTAGCTCCTGAAATGAAACCCCCCAGGGATTTGGTTACGTCTTCCACTTTCTAAGTGTTCCAGTGTCCTTCAAAGACAGCCTTATTTATCAACAGTGAGACCATGAACTTTGTTTTACCTGGCTGTTTTTTCTGTGGCTCCTCCTCTTGCACAGGCTGGTAAGATGGCAGAGTTCCATTGATATTTTCGGAGTATTTTCCACTCCTGGAGATGGCAAAAAAAAAACCCCAAAAAACAACAACAACAAACACAAAACCCCATCAGACAAATAACACAGTTACCTTGTTTGCACAAAAAGCTTCTGTTGAAGGCATAGTATGTTTCACTGCCTTCAGCAATTTACCTGAAGGAAGGTGGTACCAGCTCCAGAGGCAGAGTTAGTGGCAGAGGTTGCCCAGCTTTGGCCATATCAGTTAGGTGCATGGCTAACACAAACTCATCTGCTTTCAGCTGTCCGTCTCCATCAATATCAGCCAATGACCTGCACAGTTTTAATAGCAATAATAATTAGAACTAAACATCACCACCACTCACAAGTGACAGCCGAAGATTTTCACACCTGGAACTGTGAAATAACAAACAGAAAACTCCTCTGACATGTGGCAAAATTAAAATTAGTAATAAGAACTGTGGATGGAAGGAGTGGCTGGAAGGAGACATTATTCAAAAAGAACCATCAATTCAGATATGAACTGTGTCCTTAGACTCAGACTGGACTTATGTGAGATGCTCAATACATGTCTGTGCTGTATTTTGTGCTCAGGGTTGGACACACAAAAATGAGCCATTGAAAAAAGAATCAAGAAGGAAGCAAACAAAAAATCCACCACCCACTCACACGCCACAGGGAAAAAACAAAAGGAGGAGATGATGAAATGAGTTTTTTATTGTGCTGACAGACCAACACTATTCACACAGTACTGTTATTTATTATTACATTGTTAGTGCTATATTACAGTAATTAAGACCACAATGCCAGTAGAAGTATCAGTAATCCCTTACTTTGGGCAAAACTGTAAGTTGGTCTGGTAATCTACACGTGCACAGAGACATCCCTGCACTGGCTACTGATGCATCCAGACCAGGCACCCAGGAGGAAAGCAGTAGCTGTGTACCTGCTTTATTTCCCCACACTCCTACGTGGATGAACAACAACCACAAACTCCATTTTTTACCCTAACAGTGTGTGATCAAATAGGAATAATGTAATAACAGGTCGCTGTTGATACAAACAAATGACTGCCCCCAAGATAAAGACAACAATGGAACCTCAGTGTTCCTCTGGAACAGTGAAGTTCACACGTGAAATCCAAGTTATAACTGAAAGCAAAATCCAAACTATCTTATCTAGCAGGTTAAAGGCAAATTATTCAAGCCTTCAGACAACTGTAACAATTTCCACCAGCACAGCAAAGACAAACCTTAAAAGCTGTTTGATATGCAAGTACTTTGATGGGCAACTCCTTCTTTAAGCCCTCCATATTTTAAAACTAACAAGATCATAGAATCATCTCAGAATCACAGAATGGCCAGGGTTGGAAGGGACCTCAAGGATCATGAAGCTCCAACCCACTGCCACATGCAGGGCCACCAACCTCCACCTTTAATACCAGCCCAGGCTGCCCAGGGCCCCATCCAACCTGGCCTTGAACACCTCCAGGGATCCACAACCTTTCTGGGCAGCCTGTTCCAAGATGAGATCACAGAACTGTAGGGGTTGATCATTTGCTTTACAATTCTGCTTTTCAAACAAACAAATCCTCACCTCACCTTAAGTATCCCACCACTGAGATGGAAGTTGAAATGAACATCTGTGCTACTCTATGGAATTCAAAAAACAAAGTGTGAATAGAATAGAATCATAAAATCCTTAGAGTTGGAAGAGAGCCCTGTGGGCCATCTAGTCCAAAAAGTGAAAAGTTTAATACATTAAAGTTGAAGTGTCTTGAAAAATCAATCACCAAATGAGTTTAAGAAGCAGCTTTGTTTCTGCTTACAGCGTCAGATCTACGGTGTCCTTTCATCATTTCTTATTAAATAAAAACTTCCTCTCTTTTATAAATGTATTGAATGCACATTCAGCAACTCAACTTACCAAATAGTAGCCAGCTGAGTCTGTGAGAGGTTTGATTGCAGAAGGGCATTCCTTGCTTGAAATCCTTCATGCAAAAACACAAAAGAGAATAATAAATACTTGGAACAAAGATTCACATGTAGCAAAAATGGGTCATGAACTGGGGCATGTTTATTTTTAATGTTAATCTAATCCATTTTCATTAATCGCTGACAGTTGGCATTACTTCCAGGCTTAACAAAAGGCATTACAATCTGAACACAATGAAGATGTAAGTATTCTGGTGTAACTCTCTTTTCATTCAAAGGTCAAAACTGAAAAACTGACATAAAAAAAGGGGTATTTATGGTAATCCCCACAGCTGTTACAAGAGCACAGCTGACTGCCTGCTGGAAGTTTGAGCTGGTAAGCTGGAAAACTGCCAGTCTTCCTTGGTCAGCAGAGAACCATACGCCTTTCTCAGGCAAGTCAACGAAACCTTCAGCCCCAAAATCAACCAAACAAGATAAAAATGCATAGAGTCCCTTTCAGGGAAGAGACAATTGTCCTTTTTTGTGTACTAAAAAACTGAGGCAGAGGGTTGGCAAGCAGTCAGTCAAAATGAGAAATCTGCTCAGCTACAGGCATACGTTCTGACTCCAAATCTATCTCCACTCACCAGATCACTATTAATAATCCAGTTTTACAAGCACTTTCATTCATTTCAAATTCTGCTCTTGTGCTAACTTTGTGCAAAGCCTTTCCAAGTCACCACAATGCTGTGGCACAACACAGACGTCACTGGAAGTCAACGAGGAATTACACCCTTAAATTTCATTCCTGAAGTTACAATCCACGCCTGCACGACTGCCACATCTTTCCTCAGCTGCGTTCTTTGAAAAGAAGACAAAGCCCAAATATCTAAGCAGTTACTGATGGATACACGCAGAAATGGAGACGTGGTACAAAAGCAATTGTGTAGATGTGTCTCATTTTCACAGAAAGCACTGCTCCATTGCTTTTTCCCCATGTGTACTAAGTGCCATACTCACCTGATAAATATCCACTCATACTTTTATCAAGACTGTTAAATTTCTGTCTGTATTTTAATCTGGAAGCCTGAGGAACTGCCCAGTCTGAAGGTGCAATCTTTGGTGAATTCCCAGCTAGCGAAGCGCTAGAGGAAGAATTTGAACTGCAACACAGTTTCAAATAAGAAAAAAAGAAAGAAGGTCTCTAAGTTAGTTACTCAGCTTAACAAACAGGCATTGGTACAGAAGATACACAGCATCATTTGTTGCCCAGATGAGAAGCCCGAAGTTGGACATGCATTCATCCTACATCTTGTGCCAGCAGCAAAAAACTACAAGCATTTCTGAACCACCTTCTGGAACTGAGAACCCCCTGCACTCTTTTGTGAGTTGCCCCTTCGAAGCCCAACTGTACAGATAAAGCCAAACCCTTTCTTCTGCCTGTGACAAAGCTCTAAAATCAGCAAACAGAGCAGTGATGACAAAGATTGATGATCATCTATTATTCACGACACAAATTCACAGATAAATATTTATAACACTGTTCTTATGTGCCTGTTGGTGCTATCTATAATGAATGACCACATCAATCCATAAGCACTGCTTTTACAACCACTTGTCTTACTTTTATTTGCTAATGCTGTGCATTACCTTCCTTTCGGCACTGCTTTTACTTGTTTGAACTTTCTCTTCTACTTCAGAAAGTTTGGATAGAGTTATTGAAAATACTAATTTGCCTAGATCAAAACAATCTACTTTCAGATTTGGCAGGCCATTATCAGTGAATAATACCTTAAAAACATAAGTGCTTTGTGCTTTTTAGGAGGCGTACTATTCAAGTATAAGATACAGCCATTGTAAACTAAACCTTCATACCTGCTAGATCCTAAATCGATTAGTGACTGTGCCTTCTGCATGTTAGATCCACCAAACCCTCCTGCCATGGGACCTAAGGAACCGGTATGAGGCTGCACTGAAACAGACAAAACCAAAAGCTGTAAAGAAAACTGGTATACAGTAATGATTTGTAAGAAACACCCAAGTGTTTGAGAGAAGTAAGAAAAGCTCATCAGTGCCTTGTTTTAAAGGTTATTTAGTTATGAAAGATGTGATGAATGCAACATTTGGAAAGAATGTGTGCATACTGGGTGGCCAGCAAGGAAAGGGAGGTGATCGTCCCCCCCTGCTCAGCCCTTGTGAGGCCCCATCTGCAGTACTACAACCAGGCCTGGGGCCCCAGGACATGAAGGACATGGAGCTCTCGGAGCAGGTCCAGAGGAGGGCACTGAGATGATCAGGGGGCTGGAGCACCTCTCCTGTGAGGAAAGGGTGAGGGAACTGGGCTTGTTTAGCTTGGAGGAGAGAAGGATCCAGGGAGACCTCACTGAGGCCTTCCTGTACTTGAAGGGAGCACAGAAACAGGAGGGGGAACGGCTGTTTGTGAGGGTGGATGGTGATAGGACAAGGGGGAATGGTTTTAAACTGAGACAGGGGAGGTTTAGGTTGGATATCAGGAGGAAGTTTTTCCCCCAGAGGGTGGTGAGGCACTGGAACAGGTTGCCCAAGGAGGCTGTGGATGCCCCATCCCTGCAGGCATTCAAGGCCAGGCTGGATGTGGCTCTGGGCAGCCTGGGCTGCTGGTTGGTGACCTGCACACAGCAGGGGGTGGAACTGGATGAGCATTGTGGGCCTTTGCAACTCAGGCCATTCTGTGATTCTATGATTATGATTCTATATAGGTTTATTAATTTATTTATTAACTTGCATATTAGTGCGTTTCTCTCTGAAATTAGCCAGGGAAAAAATGAGATTCACCCATCAAACCAAGCAGTGGACTGCACTCTACTTACTTGAAGAGAAAGGTATGGCCAAAGGCTGCAGAAGGCTGGATGTTCCGTTTGGCAGTGATGAGGTACTGACAGAAGGCACCAGGGGAGCAGAAATAACCAAAGGAGGAACGGATGTCATTGAGGTCAGAGACATTGGAGCTAACGGTGTGATCGTAGACATGGATGTTGGCATGGACAAATTTGGCATACTACCCATTCCTAGAGCAAAAACAAACAATTCATGATCTTGTATGGCACACACTCCAGCAAGAAATGGAATCCACCATGCTAAGTAAAAGCACACAAAGCAGCCTGCATCCAGAGATGCAATTAAATAGATGCTTGTGTAGAATATTTGCTCTTCCCCCAACATTCACACAGCACAGCTAACAGAAGGAAATACACTGAAGATGAATTTACAAAATAAAAACCCAACCCCACTCCTTACAAGGAATTCATTCTCCAGGCTGACCTGGCAAATATTTCACAAAAGGATTAAGATGTAATTTTCTATAATTATCTACATAACTCATTTTTCAAGAAGCCTTTCTGTGTCTGCCCCCTGAGACAGAATTCTAACAGAACAGGAAACTGGTGACAATTCTCTACAAAGAGCAGCTGATGACATTTCTGAACTAAGCCTCTTCCTAATCTTGGTCCCAAAAAAATGTACAAAGGTGCAATGTCCATATTTAGGGGCACATGCCCAACACAGGACTGCTTTAAGGCAGTTTTCTGATTAAGACACTTGAATTACTGACTAAATCTTGTGGAGGAAAACAGGATGCAGATGAGGTGATGAAAGGTTAATAGCAAGTATTCATTTGCCAACCACAGCTATATATAAATGCATGCACTGGTATGCAAACACAAGATTCAGAGTGGGGCAGACATTTAAAAATCACATGTGCAATTATTGCACACACACATTGAACTCCACTGTATAAACACTGAAAGAAGTACATGCAGAATTTTGTAGCCTAGCTGAAACCAGGTATATATTTTCTGCTACAAAATTACAATCAGCCATGCACTGACACAAACTCAATTCCAAAACATGGCAGAAAGGTTAAAAATAATTACATTCCATCGATGATCAAGTGAACAATCTGATTAATTCTAAAAAAGTATTTTAAGTAACTGATGTCAAAACTTTGACCCTTGCTAAGTTTAACTTAAAAGAAGAAAAAGAAAGTTAGGAGGGTAATCTCATGAGTGAATAGAGGGAGACAGAAAAAGGCCTTTGGTATGACAGCCTGCAAGCCAAAGGGCAGATGTGAAGGGCCCTCCTGAACCTCAAAATTCAATAGATGCTGCTTCTTTATTATTAAATGTCGTCAGAGAATGAAGTCATCAAAAAGGCCATTTGCTCTGCCTCAAGTAAGAGGCTTTGTGGATTTCTTGCATCAGCACAGCCACGGTGGTTTCTTGTTTTTAACTGATCCCCTCAGTGCTGTGGTCAGATTAATGATACTTGTGTTTGAATGCAGATCAACTGTGTGTTTTCTCTCTGAACACCAATTAACTGTATATTAATAAGTACCAAAGCGAGCTGACATTAGAGGTGAAAGTACTGGAGTTTGTTTCATGACAGGAGGGAGAACCATAGGCAAGTGCTGTCCTTGTAATTTCAGCTTGATGAGTTTCATGGCTATAGAGAACTCCTGTTGATCCATTTTTCCATCTTTGTTCAAGTCTGACAGTGCCCTTAAAGGAAAAACAAGAAAAGAAAGAAAGAGTCCACACAGCAGAAATGTAACAAAGCTTTTCACCAAATGAGAAGCTTTATTATCAATTTTACCTCTGTTTTCATACGAGAAAACACCACACTGCAACCATCTATATACCTTCTCCTTATGACAACATCTAAATTCTTCTAAGTTTGCATCATTTCAAAGTATAACATCTAACTATATCCAATTTAATTCACTTGGTAGACTTCTACTTACTTCAATTTTCAAGTTACTATGTATTAAATACTTAGAGTAGGAAGATATTTGGGAAAACAGTCATCTCCTACTTGCTTGTTGCTACAGCAATGTTTTTTCTATGCTGAGAGCAAGAGCAATTATTTTAAATGAGCATGTTGCAGCACAGGGAATTACTGCAAAAAAGCCATTACAATACAGAAACCTGCTACAGGCATTAGAAGCCACTTCAAAAACTGTATTACTTCACACATTCTGAAATCTCATTAATAAATTAGATGTCCATGAACAGGCACAGGAGCGTGGATAAAAAATGGCAAGGTTAATAACGAGCTACACGTTCTCATTTCCAGCTGTGCTCTCTTACTACTCAGAACAAATCAGTGCTGCCCTGTGCTGTGGAGTGTCTGAAGAAGGAACTAACTTAGCATAATATCAAAATGCTTTCTTTCACACTGTCCACCAGTGAGTCCCTCTTCATGATTACGGTCCGCTCTGACTTTCAGCATGTGTCCATCCTGATAACAACACCCACTGCAGCACCGTGGGTGAAGACTGAAGGGTTTCAAAGAAGATAAATTATCTTTTAAGTGTTGCAACCACCACATGCGTGTTGCGAAGAACAGAACTTTGTCCTGTTCCTATGTTACAGCTCTGGGTTGGTTCCTTACAGTCTATTATAACTGACCTACGATGGAGCTTCAGATTGTTGTCTGTTACAGCAGTTGGATGCCACGCACTTCCCATTTTAAAAAACAGAAATATAAAATTAAAGCAAGAACACCTTACCATATGTCAGCGAGGACTGAAGATGGTAGACCTGATTGCAAGAAAAAGGTACGTGCTTGATCACCTATGAGAAACACGAAAGAAAGAGGCTTTGACTCTATGGACATGGATATTGACAGGCATCAGAAACCTCAGACAACCTCAGCACTCTCTCGTGGGAGCAGATCCTCAAAAGGAATCACCACACTTTCTAATCTCTTTGGTTGTGTGTCACTTAGCTCCTTCCTTCGTGACAGCTGTTATCAGATGTCTTCCTGTAATCTTGAATCCGCTCTCAAAAGCACAGCTTCAAATAGCAGTAAGAAGCTTTAAGATGTGGGAGGAAAAAAGAACCAAACAACTGCCAACAGTTTAACAACTGCACCATGTCAAGAGATGTCATATGTATGAAGTATGACAAATGAGCAAAAATTTCATCCTGACCTAATTACTTTTAGAGGAAAGGATGAGCACTCCGTTTCTTTCCTTCTCCTTCATCCAACCTAACCTGAGCCACTACTGTCTCTCTAGGAAAAGGAAAACAGAAAAAAAAAAATAAAAAGAAGCAAAATCTCATGTTCTAAGCAATATTCTGTTCCATCACAGAAGCATCCAATAATTCAATATCTCAGGAAGGGAACAGGAACCACTGAGCACATTCATACCAAATTGCACATCAACTGACACTGACTGTGCTGCTAAACAAAGATATAATAAAGCACAGGCAGTGGTTTGCATGTTTATCTAGGAGCAAATTATAAAAGCTTAAATCTAAGGCTTCAGGTTATTTTTTCAGCACCTTCTTCCCCTTTTATTCACAGTCTTTAATTTCAAGCACTTTACAAATAAATAATGCAGCCTGCAGACATGCATGTGGTGGCCACGACATGGCCTCAAGGTAGTTCCTGGGAAGGCACACTTTCCAGCTGGTGCTAAAACAGCATTGAGACACCAGTATTTGTTTGGTCAGTGCAGGAGATAGTTATCTCTTAGCTAACAGAAGTGCATACTCCCCACAGACAACTTCCTACTCTTTTCTCTGTCCCTTTCAGACCAAAAAGAGGAAAAATAGGGGCACCACAGTTAGCAGATAGGGTACAGACTCAGCAGATAGTTAGGCAAGCAGGAGTGAGGGTTAATAAACTATAAGCAGTCATTAACAAGGATGAGTTGTCAGCATCTCTCTCCCTGCCTCCTACTCCAGAACAAAGATATCTCACATCACAGTGTTCTCCAGCTCTTTTCAGACAGAAGAGAGCACTTCTTGTGCCCCTGGCATCGCTTGCCACAATAGCTAGGAGAAGTGTTTTGTTGGCAGCTTCCCATCTCAGTGCAGATTCAGCCTCTAACTCTGTTTTTTGAAAGCAGGCAGAGTGACAGCACTTGACTGCTGGCTGCAGAAATGATGGGGTTAACAACTGTGTGCTTCTGTGACAGACTTCGGTCCAAAGCTCGTACAAGTTTAGTAATAACCTGTGGCTGTTTGCCCAAACTATGCTTATTAGTCGCACCACAAAGGCCTGAAATAGGATGTAGTTTTCAAACTGTTTCACAACATTACTTATGTGTACCCAAGAAGTTAATGTGTAATGCAGAATCCCAGACTAACCTGTAATGTAGCCTCCCGTGGGCTTAAGGCTATCAAACTGCTTGTCGTGCTTGGCCCGCTCTTCTGCGGTGATGGCCCATATGTTTGGCCCTCCTAAAACAACAACACAACAAAAACTGAGAGATTGAAGATTCTGACAAATCAAACACGTCACTCGTAAAAGCAAAGCTTGGCTTCTTGAAGGACAAAGCCAGATTTAGGCACGCCCAGCTCCTACCAGTTTGGCAAGGGCATTATGAAACCCAAACCCGCTCCCCAGATGTGGAAGTGGCAGCTGTAACTCCTCAGCCCTGCTGCTTTTTGCTCTGCTTTCAAACAAGCTGTTTTGGCTTTCCAAGCCGGTGCAAAGTAGTTGCCTGTGGCTGCTGTCAGCTTGCAGCTCGGGCAGGAAGCATGCCAACCACAGCACTCTGTGTGAACCAAAGCTCCCCTGCTCCACCAGCAAACAAACAGGATTCAGTGTCAACTAAAGGGTCTCGCAGAGGAGGCTCACATCCTACAGCTGCCCCAAAGACTCGTGCTTCGTCTTGCTGATGCTCTAAAATCAACGTTGGGACTGTTAATAAAAACAGTCTGGTTTTGTATGGTAAAGGAGTAAGGTTATGGATTTATTTCTTAAGATAGCATGTGATTTCAATTGAGCTTTTTTTACTACTTACAAGGAAAATGTTTAACAATATTATAGCTCCAAAGTAATAAGGAGAAACTGCAAGGAATTATCATGTGTACAGAGACGTTCTGGTATACTACATGGAACCAAGAGTGACTTCAGAATCACTCACATCTGCTTTATAAAGGTCTGGCTGCGTGTCTGAGCAGGACAAGTAGTTTCCCAGTAACAGCTGGTTTGGGATTTATGCAAAAGAAGTTTTAATTGGGAAGCTTTTGACAAAATCTTATCTTTCAATCAGTGAATGTAAGAATGAGCCAAAATTTTCAACAGAATCCCCAGTAGCAACGTTAAAAACTTACTGAAAACATCTCCAACAAATTCTACCCAGCATTACCACTTCCAAAGGACTGTTACACCATCCTCCAAGGAATGGTACCACTCGCCAAAAAGCAGCCAAGGAAACAAATAATTCTTTCAATATGATATTTACAAGGTTCTCTGAGGGCTATCATTCTCCTCCCATGTTTACATGCTGAATTCTTTACACTGCTGTTTCATATGGAAAGACAAATAGTTAGAAAGCAAACAAATAAGAGGAACTCAACGGCCATACGAATGACAAAATGGTGGGAGGACCTTTGGATATAACCTTGAAGCACCTGAGTTTGGAGTTCCACCTCCCCTTCCAGCAGCAGTTAGCAAAGGTCTACGCTGAAACAGCTGTTTTGTTCAGAGGAGACCTCATGGAGACCTCATTTGGAGGAAGGAGAATGAAGACGGGACAAGGCACCCCGCACTGCCAGCTCACAGTCCTCCCTCTGGCTCTCCATGCTGCCATGCTGGCCCACCTGTCCATGGTCTCACTGCTGAACTCAACAATGCAGGCAGCCACAACACTCTCCAGTGCTACACAAAAAGATTACACCACTCACACCACTGTAACTTGTCGAAGGAACACAATTTGTATTACATTGCAGATCTCTGTTTATGTATGCACTAAAGTCCCCAGCATCAGATAAACATATCATCAAGTATACAAGAAGATGGTGATTACTCTTTCAATTCCAGCAAAATGGACATTTGCATAACATGTGGTGAGTTTTCTTTCTTTTTTCCCCCCGAGTTCCCTAACAAAACATGCAGAAGCACTTCTACAGCAGTCATCACCATGGCCAAGCATAAATTTCATTCAAGAAAAGCCGTGACTGCAAACAATGTTGTTATAGCAACAAATTCAGAGCCCGAGTGACACTCCAAAAGCAACTGAAGCTAATGTCCTGTCCAAGTGTGAGCCACAAAGTCATGTGTCAGCAGAAGAAGGAACCCTTCCAACTCTTTGCAAGGGGTGGAAAACAGCTGGACAAGGGGAAATGGTTTGAAGTTGAGGGAGTGGTGAGGTGCTGGAACAGCTGCCCAGAGGGGCTGTGGATGCCCCGTCCATCCCTGGAGGTGTTCAAGGCCAGGTTGGATGGGGCCCTGGGCAGCCTGGGCTGCTATGAAATGTGGAGGTTGGTGGCCCTGCGTGTGGCAGGGGGTTGGAGCTTCATGATCCTTGAGGTCCCTTCCAACCCTGGCCATTCTGTGATTCTGTGAGATGGAGAGAATATAAATCCTGAAAAGACCCATCTGCCAATAATTCATTTTCCAAGGTAAATGAATTTCAGATTCTCCCTGTGCCAGAGAAACCATAAATCCTTCATAACTTATTCCATAAAGATACGCCCTCATCTACCAAGGGCTTTTGTAGACATGGAAGAAAATAATGCAACAGATCTTAAAACCCAAAGCCCAGGTAACCTGAATATTCTACTTACAAGGAAACATATAAAAATATACATTATTATTCAAAGAAAACACTCATTTTCAATAATTCTAGCAGTATCTCTCAAGACCTGCCAACATTACAGATGTTTAAGAGGAAATAACAGAGCACCTTGTAATTTAAAAAGTTGCAGGAAAACATGCTGTAAATTCCAAACATCACTGAGATAAGCAGGGTGGAGCAAGGAATACCCAAAGTACTCCTGGGGCTGTGATTCTTCACAAGCTAAGAAATAAAATGAAGAGCACAGCATGATAGGGAAGGTGAAAATGTTGTGAGGCTTCATTTTCAGCTTAACCAGGTGTCTGGGACTCTTTTGATGTTACAATTTGGAGATAAGAATAATAAGAACAAAAAACACTTATACTGAAAGTGTCATTAAAAATAAGATCCCTCCAAGCAAAAAATACCACATCAGTCTATCTGAAATCAACCCTTTGAACAACAGGGTTGAACACAAGGCCTTGGCAAGTCCACAAAGTGCCTCGTGAAACCGTTCTTCAAAGTAATTACTGCATTTACTTATGGTACAAAGGAGACCATCACAATAAAGACTTACCATAGATGATGAAACTGGTTTGAAACTCAGCCCCCCTGCAAAATCACTATCAAAACCCGACACGACCCTCAGTGACACCTGAGGTCATCTCCCAAAGCAATCATAAGCTAAATCTGACCTGTCAGCACTGCCTGATACACAAACTGTCGAGTTTGCTGGCCCACTGAACGTCTTCTGATGTTCGACAGAGACAGATAAATGAACAAGGAGCATGCAACTCCACTAAATCATTAGCATGGCAGGCACACTGATGTGTGCAACAACAGGGAGACCACTCCTGCAGGAAAAAAAAGAGAAATGTGCCACCAAGACATATCAATTAAATATCTCTAGATTCCCTCAAAAGTCCTTTGCCCAAACCTCTCAGTCTCTGGGCTGAGAAACGTGCTGCTGGTAAGCCAGATCTAGCCAAAGGGAACAACCAAGCTTGCCCAGAGCCTTCATCATTCTTCATTTCTCACTGCCCCAGTTCTTAATCGTGGCACATCATACATGACTCACAAAAACAAATCAACCTGCAGGCATCTAGCTCCTCTGGTCAGACTTGGTGGGGATGCCTTTCCGTCACAGCTGTGGGGAAGAGGCACACACACATCCCTTGGTGAAGCAGTGATGAGCCTGGTTTGGAAGCAAGCAACTATGCTGGGGATTAAGCAACTTTTTCTGTTCCTTTAAGCTCATCCTAAACAAAAGACATCTTCCTAAGAGAACTTTAGGGTCTGTTTACGACAGGATCACAGACCTTGTTAGGGACAGCCTGTTTTCTTCCAAAGGTTATCAGCCCGATGCAGAGCCCTAATGGCATCTCTAAAGGACTCGCTTTGATGGGCTGCCAACACGAAACAGAAACAAACACTTCTTTCCTTCAAAGGGCGAGCTGCAAACGTAAAAGAGGGGAGGAAAGAAAGTGAAGTTCTAGAAGAGCAATAAACAGCCTTCAAAACGCTGCTGTGAAACTTCTGCCGCTGGTTAGTATTACAAATGCAGCCGTGCACACTGGTGTTATTAGCAAAACAGACAACCTCTTCACTTGCAGAACACTGCAAGGCATTACTACATTCTACAGGGAATGTGTGTTTCTGACTGGTTGGTGCTGCTTGTTTGGTACTCTAAGAAAAACTATGCTCCTACGAGCTACAAAGTTAATTAACCCCACCGAGATAATAAAACTAAATTGAAAGAGCACTCCCTGCACATGTAAGTCACGAGGACGAGTGATTATACACCACCTTTTTAACCATCCAAAAAAAAACTAGCAGTAAATTTCATAATGAGCCTAAATAAATATTTATCCCCATGTTTAAAAAGGGGGAAACTTCACACAGCAGCTTCCCTGCAGCTTCATAACCAGGGACTTTCCACAGTTCAACCATCCAGAGCATTCGTTGCTGCCTCCCATCAAGTGGACTCAAGAGAACTGCTTGGTGTGCGACGTGCTGGGACAACCCTACCTACAGACACAAACAGGGGGACACTGGAATCAAGTGCAGCACAGACATATTCACAACAGATCAAACTGAACGACCCCAACTGAGGCAAATGAAGCGTGGAATCACACTTTTCATTTTTCTTTGGTGTTGGTTTGCACACTAAGAGTCTCAAACACACAACACTTCACCATTATTATGAATTCCCACATTCCCCATCAGCATTTCTAATATTTTTAGTACTTGTTTCTCCTATTTTTCGTTGACTTTTCTTTATTTTTGTAGATTTTCTGCCCACCCCAAACACTACCTGCTCATCTTTGGCTCCTAGCTCCCTCAGACCACAGCACGGCCCACGCTCAACCTGCCTTCCCAACACACACATTGATCCCACTGCTTCTTGTCCCACCCAAAAAGCATCACAGAGGCTCTGGCAGTACGAGGCAACACTGCAGCAACTGCCAGAGGAAAGGAAAAGTGCACGTCTGTGCTTAAGGACAACTTGAGCAGTTTCTTTAACACAGACACTGTTACAAAGGAAACACCTGTAGCTGAAGCCCATTCAACAGTAGGAAAAAGCTGCTGGGTTTCCCCTTCCATTTCACATTTTCACTAAAGTTTTGAGTTTGTTTTTTTGTTTTTTTGGGTTTTTTTTGTAAGATTTTTAAAAGTCTCTGATGTGCTGCCCAAAAATAATTGTTCCACACAGCAAAGCTGGTAACTCATCTGGCCAAGAAACACCTGCTTAACTCAAGGGCACACTCACAGAAACGTGAAGAAAGAAGCAGCAGATGTTGCACTGTGGGGTTTAATTCATACTCCCCCCTGTTTTGTACAGGATTTCTACATATTGTGGTGCATTAGGAAGCCTCAGCTTCAGTAGTTCATTAAAATTAAATACTGGGGCTGTTTACTCACGTGCCCTGTAAACAGGAACAGCATTCCATACCATGCCCTATTTTCACTGACGTGATCATCGTGACTGAAGCCCCACTTCAGTGTACAGAACCTATCATAAAGAATGAACGTAAGAACTTCTTTGCCATGCTGTGATCTCAATTAGAAAGACACAGAATGAGTATAATCCCTACAACAACCTGAAGACACACTGTCTCCTCTAGTGTGAGATACATCATAGCACAGTCATAGCATCACAGAATGGCTGGGTTGGAAGGGACCTCAAGGACCACGAAGCCCCTCTGCCACATGCAGGGCCACCAACCTCCACATCCAATACCAGAGCAGGCTGCCCAGGGCCCCATCCAACTTGGATCTTGGACACCTCCAAGGATGGGGCATCCACAACCCCTCTGGGCAGCCTACAGTTGATGCTTACAGTGATGATCCACTTGTTAGCTGAATTTCACAGTGCAACTTGATGATTCCAAAGCACTTAAACTATCAGGTTGTAACAATGGGATATGACTATACTTACACAATCACAGTATCATTTATTATTATGGCTATCCATTTTTAGAAGCTCCTTTTTAATTCAATTATTGCCAAACTCCACTGAAACACGATGCAACACAGCCAGGAAAACGTTTTAAAAGAAAAAACACAGACAGAGCAAAGTGCATCAATTTCCTTTTCAAAATGTGTAAATGAAGATCATTTTAGAGATCTATCCAAGCTCCACTAGTGCAAGAACATGAGTATAAACATGACTGTACTCTTCAGTGCACCCAGGTGTGCTGCCTTTTGTGATAGTTGGTTCTAGCATTTGTGTCAACTCATTCAACGGTATTCTATGAAGTTTTAATGAAACAAGAGTTCTTGAATAGCATTCCCCAGACCTCAGTTCAATAGCAACAATAAATATGAAGTACTTTTTGCCTAACTGGAAAACCAGTGCTCTTGAAATCATCTGCAATCCCTGAGTTACTGACAGGTGCACGTAGAGTAATCTCATTTTTCTCTCCGTTGACATGGATTTGTACAATATGAATATTTCCTGATGGACCTTAGAAAAGGGACAGTCATAAAGCCACAACTACAGAAACTCAGTAGAAGGCATGAGATGGAATGTGATCACAACATGAAATGGAAGGTCCTCTGCCACATTCTCCCATACCCTGGGAGGCAAAGGTTGCCTCCGTTTGTTGCTGGCGTAAGCGTAATGGCAGCTGGCAGCCTCTGCAGCTTTCCTTGGCACAACATGACACAGAAGCTGGAAGATATGCTTTATTCTTCAGTTTAGAGCAAGCCAGCAGCTCTTCTGGGTGAACTGCCGTCAACCTGTATAGAATCAAAGTGTTTAATAAGGAAAGTAAAAGCTTTTAATCAGCACTGTTCAGGAAGAAAACCTGCCGGTGCTCAGATTAAAGCCTTTCATTACTCAAAGTGGATTCTTCTTATGCTGCTGCCCACCAGCATTCAGAAAAACCCTACTAATTAATTGAAAAGTTACAAAAGGACAATTTGTTTAATCACTGCCTAGCAGATCTTTATGGAATGCAGCAAAATGAACAAGATTCAGGTCAGTTTTCATCTGCAGCTGCTAACAAACATTTGAGTGCTGGGAGCGGTGCTGGCAGAAAACAAGGAAGAGGATCCAAAATGAACCTTGAAATTAGGTTGAGGAAAGGAAAGGATCCTCTTACAACAACAGAAGGTGACATAAAATCAGAGCAGAATTTTGTTCAAATAATATTATATCCTCTACAGCAACTTCTGTAGTTATCTTCGTATTTCCAGTTTCTCAGACTTGAAGAGGAAGTCCGGGACTAAGAGGAAAAGAGAACCACCACCAAATAAAAATTAAAAAACAGACAGGAAGAGTGAGACAGAAGGGAGAATGAAGAGGAGCTTCCTGAGCTATCTGTGGAATAAAACAAATCAGGAGATATTTTAAGAAACAAGCCATGGTAACGCCTGCCAGCTCAGACCAACTGTTCACCTCGCTGAGCAGCCAGCTCCCAAGCCCAACACCTGGCATGGAAGGAAAGCATGGAGTGAGCCTGTGGTGGCATTTCCTCACTGTGTTTCCTCAGCCCTCAGTGCAGCCCGTGACCCAGACCTGTATCACATTAATGAGATGAAAATGCATCTATATCTAATCAACCATGTCACCTTTTGGCAATCCACAGCTTTCAGAGCTTACTGACACTGTGCTGAGTGCTCTGATTGATAGCTGCCTTGGTATTTTCATTTGATACTGGTTAATTCTTCTATTATGAGAGATCAACTACCACTTAGCTGCCACCTTCCTAAGGTCACTCATCACTCTATACACATTTATTGTATCCATCATGCCAAGCTGGAAGGTCCTAGTCAATATAATCACTCCAAATGAGTATGATAGCTTGAGTCTTTCCTTGAGCATCACACTCTCTTGACTTTCAGATATTAACAAACTCGGACACTTCTGGAGCCAAAAGTCCACAAGTTTGGTTCCAAGCACTGGGAGCTTTGGTTCCCAGGTGTTTTGAGACAATGAGTCCCCACCAATAAGGAAAAGAAAAAAGAAAAAAAAAAAAACAAGCACATTTTCTGCCAACTGTCAGCTCAATCATTTCATTGTGTACTGGTAAGAAACTCAGTCCCACAAACATTTTGTGGGGTTTTGTTTTTTTTTTTAAGTTTTCCAGCCTTTCACTCCTTCCAGCCATCTCAGTTATGATTGAAGGCTGTTGTTCAACTGTAAGAAAAACAGCAGATGTCTCAACAACTGATCCGGGATACTGAAAAGCCCCAACCTAAAGCATCTCTAATTAAAGTAACACTGCAGCATTGTATAAACGCATTCGACAGACCACAGACAACATCTAAAAATGGTTTATTCTTGCTATGATGATTAGGGGGCTAAACCTGAACTCATTCTGCCAATACCAATTAATTTTATCTTTGGCCTGTTCAACATGTGTAGGCCATAATGACCACGAGAAGGCACAGGATTTAGCTGATGTTCAAAAGGCAGTATTTCACATGGTGACAAACAACCCTAAGTTACACCAACCATATGAAGCAGTTTATCAGACTAGAAGGGCAACTCCCAAAATCTTGGAGCTCATCTTCCTAACAAGATGAGAGAAATTCTCAATAGTCAAAGCCCTGTGAAGCTCTGCCATGTGGTAGATTGATGTTTGAGTCCCTGCAGTGAAGCCTTCAGGCTCTGGCTTCATTCTGGGGAAGTATTGGTTGATCTCCTTACATTTTCTGTTTTGTCTTTTTAAGTATACGCTCTGAGGTACAACAGAACCATGAGGAAATCTGACTGGCATCCAAAATGATTAAAGCAGCCGAAATTATAGACGTATTACAGAAGATGAATCCCTTGGTCCCCCACTCAGCACAGTCTTACCTTACAAAACCTAACACAGTCCTAAAAGTAAAACCTTATCAAGACAAGGCAGCTTAAAGTAACTCAGTGGATGACATTTGCCAAGTTACCAACTAATGGTGAAGATTGGTTTAGGACTGCAAGGCACTTCCAAGGTCATCATGTCCGGACTGCAGCTGCTCTGAGGAGGTCTCACACAGAACTCCTTCCCCAAAACCAAGCTCTGCCTTATGGCACTCAGATTCCTCCCTGACCACAGGGACCAGAACATCCCAGAACCATTCCGATTTCCATCCCAACACACTAACAGCCAATTCACAGGGGGTTGGAGCTTCATGATCCTTGAGGTCCCTTCCAACCCAGCCATTCTGTGATCTCTACTGAACTTTGTGCTGCCACTAAGGTCACCAAGTCCAACCCCAATCCACCCCACTATGCCCACAGTGCACAGTTCCAGAACACCTCTAGGGACAGTGATCCCACCTCCCTGGGCAGCCATGTGGCACTGCATTATGCAACAGCACACAGTATCACTTACTTCACCACCATGTTCTACGATGCATTTCCTTTCCCTCCAATTACATAATTACTACATGATTATTTAAGACATCCGGTTGTCTTCCCCCTTAGTCACAGCCAAACCCTGGGCTCCCAGCACACAGCAGAAATTCTTCCAGCCTACAGCAGCATGACTACAAAGCCACCTGAGGAAGCACAACGGAAACGCGACGGAACTGAACCAGTGATGCAGTGCTTCCTGATGAATCCTCCCTGGAAAATGACTCCTTGTGTCATCAGAAAATTGAACCAGCATACACGTGCTTTGTATTAACGATGTTTCCATAAATAATAAACGAGTTCATATGGTCCCAGGATAACAATCCATGTAGAATTTCACTACTACAACGACCAAGACTGGTACTTCCATTTTCTCTCCCTTTTAGCCAGTTCTCTCTCTAATAAACTCCATCTGTTTGACTCTACCCACAAAGTTTAGAGACTAAAGAAAGCATGGGATGCCCTCTGCATTAAAACCTTGCTCCTTTTACTGTGTTATTATTTACCTCTATGTCTCATTATTTTCAGCTTCCAAAATGACATATGAGCAAGACACTCCTGCAATTCTACAGAACTACTTCTCACTTCTTAGAACTAAAGCACACATCTGATACAGGACGTGCAACTGGAAACCTAATGTTTTGCAGTTTGATAGTGGAACATGTAAGTCCATCTGACTTAAACACGTGAAGTTTGCTCTGTATCAAGCAAAAACCCGCATCCTCATGCAGAACCCAGGAATTAATTTACAAACGTAAGTAAGGCCACAGAATATTTCTGTCCCTGTCTTTGAATCTCCCTCATTTCCTTTGCCTTACCTGAGGCGAAAGAACAAGTTCTGACACTTCCTTTGCAAGCTGTAATTCAGCTCAGTGTCTTTATCTACACTTGCTGATATCCAAGTCTGCAGTTTCCATGCCTGCAGTACACACAAGGTTAAGAATCATGTTGCACCCATACAGGTTTTAATTGAACTGCAATGACCAATTCCAAGAAATTTCAGACCAGGGATCTTGAGATAAGAATTTTTAAATAGAGAAGACAATTTGTGACTGCATTACTCTTGACAGCAGTGGAACCAGAACCCCATTCAGCTCTGAATTCACTAACTAAAACCCAGCTTGAAGTATTAAGCTTAAAAAGAAAGTGAAATGGAGTTCTGAGTATTACTTTTTGCATCTCGGCTATCAGAGGTGTTTTCCTGTTGGACCACTACACATTGTATCAAAGGAAACAGGCGGTAGGAGGGAAGAGGAAGGACAAACAAAAACATAAACAGGAAAACCAGTCCCAAAACTCCCATGGTACTTAAGGAAACTCTGTGAGATACTGATCAGCAAAGACTGCCTTCCTCATTCCTGCCCGACTGTCAAGATTAAATCTCCGTAAACCAAGATCCAGCCTGACTGAGAAATTCTAACCTACAGAAGGAGTTGGGAGAAGAGCAACATCTTGCAGCTGCTCTCCAGTTGTAGCAGAAAACATCCCACGGCAGGGCAGGCTGCTTTATGACAGATACAGCAATCAGAAAGATTAATTACGTGAAAGTTGTTTCAGTTCCTATCCTATTTTTAACCACTAACTCATTCTTTAGAAATGTAATTTTGAAAGTACTTGATATTTGGTTCAACCAAATGCCACTTGTACAGGATTTGAGATGAGTTCCTTAGATTAGCCTGGATCTCACAGTAGACTCTCTGTGATGTCTCTGATCTATCTGGCGCTGTACGCATGCTTACAACTTGCAGCCTTCCCACAGTAAGGCATCGCTCGGTCTTGCCTGTTCACATAAGAAGTCACCACAGCCATTACAGCTAGCCTAAGTTTGCCAGACCTGGCAGATGCACCCCGAGTTCCATAAAATCAACATGCACTCCTCAAGTCCTGCTTCCCCTCTCTGCATTTCCAGCCTGTTAATAACACACCCACAAAAGTCACCTTGGACCAAAATGGAAGGTCAAAGGGAACCCATCTGTAGATGTTCACTGTGTACTTGTAGATCTTTAGAGAGGAAAGGTAAGTGGTTTAGCAAGAGTATGTGTCCCAGGAGCACAGAAGGTCCCACCAAACTGAAGTTTACGTGTGACCACACAATTAGAAAAGAATATGCCAGTTCTCAGCCCAACACACAGCCTGGCTGTCAGCCACACACTCAGGCTGCAGAGTCTTGAGAAGCTGGTCTGGGAGAGCTCCCAAGGTGCCCTCCATGAATTCAAGGCTCTGAACTGAAACACCAGCAGTTAAGTGAGTTAACCTTCTTCCCTTTCTCTGCTCAGATGGAAAACAAGGTGCTGCAGACTCTTCTGCTCACATTGTTTGAGATGATGTAAGTATCTCACTTCGTCATCTGAACCCTGCAGTTCTCAACCCCGGTGTCATTCTGTACCATGTAATTGCTCTCTTGCACACACACGCTATCTGCTAGCTTTTAACACCAAGCACCAAAAACAAACCTGAAACTACTTTTGTAATTAATGACCTAAAAGCTAAGACTTTGCACCTTGATAAGAACGAGAGGTTCTTCCCCCAGAAAAAAAACCCACAGTTTTCCTCTAGTAGAGAGCAAAAGGGCCAATGCCCCACGGCAGGCAGCCACTGCTCTCCACTTGGGCTGCAGGAGTGCCTGTGGGTCTTACTGCCTCATGCATCACTGCATTCTTCATCCAATGCTTGAAGCCATTACCAATGTCTAATACCATAATTAGAGGTCTGCAGTGAGTGTTAAATGTAGGTGATCTACTTTGGATGCAAACAGTAGTAGGAAGTAGCAGGGAAGGGGAACACAGATTACAGAACAGTTTCAGTAGTAAAAATTGCTCAGTATTTATCCAGAAATCAGTTAAAATTACTCTTTTCTTCCTTGCCTGGTATCTTTCATATTTAATCAATTCTGATGAGAAACATCATTGCAAAAGCACACACAGTCATTCAATTACACTGCGAGCTTAACTGCTGCCTGTTAGCTCATATTTTCTTACTAAGTATTTCAACACAGTGAAACTCATTTCTTGACTCAACAAAACCTTTTGGCCTAGTTCCCTTTTGAACTGTGCAAGGGATTCCAGATGAAGAAGAGGAACTCTTCCCCAAGCTACATCTTTCTCAGTTCAAGTCATGCATGTGATCACTGCTGTCAAATACCTGCAGTCCTTCACCAGAAAGAGAAAAGAGCCAAACAAAGAAGACAGAATCGTCCACGTGTAAATCAACCACAGGACAGCTGAGAGCACAAACCCATGTCCTCTCCGAAGAGCATTTTGTGTTTAAGCTGGGGAGCAAAGAGCACACAATGACAAGAAAATTGTTTTTCTATGATGCCCAAGAAGTGGAAGTGATACATAGGTTTTTGCCCTATGATATGCAATATGTTGACTTGTTTTACTTCTCTTTTAAGTCTGTGGAACAAAGTCCAGATCAAACTGCAACTGTCTGTATAAAAAAAGGTGTTTTATGCACACGTGAAACATGTAAAACAGTTTAAATTTGAATTCTGAGCACTTTGCTTTGGCTAAGAAACACTTTTCTTTTTCTATTTCACTCATTTTAACAGCAGTGATCTTCTAAACTGGTTACATGCAGACTCCCCAGTCCTGCAGTAACCTTCACAGAGAAGAAATACCTTTATCATTCAGCTCCCTATCTGGAATATCTGGAGCATTGTTCTTATATTTGTCTTTCCATTTTGGCCAGCTTTGCAAACAACAGCACATAAACATAAAATTTCTCAGCAGACAGCTGCAACTTGTGCCTTCACAAAGAAGCTTGCTTTAGAAACAGTGAGCTCCACTATACACATAAACACACAAACAACTCTAAACTTTGGTCTTTTACACATCTTTGATAGAGAATCACCAAGAAACAAATCCAAAAGTTTCCACAGAGTGCAGAATTAAGAGGGAGGTTCTGAAGTTTTTCTTACTTCTAAAGATAGTTCTAGTTAACACTAAATGATTAACATATTCTACTATTTCAGCTTAAGCAGCACATTATAACGAAACAAATGTTGTGCTGCATTACATAACACAAAAGGTATGCAAGTCAAATCAGCTATTACTTTGCATTTTCCCACTTGCAGTCAGTCAGTGCTCATAACACAAGACCAACATTCCTCACCCCTTTAAATGATCTGAGATTTCTAGATGCTCCAGGCATTTCTGTATCTAAATCACGCCACAATTACGCTCACAGCCAATTTCTCCCGGTCTTACAAGGTAAGCTGAACTACAGGAAGCAGTCTGCAGCAAACTGTCCACAACGCTGCAGCAGATACAAAAATCAGCTCCTTTTCCACAGGGCCATTTCAACAAAAAATAAAAACGAACGCTCCCACCCCTACCTGAACAACCAGAACCGAGCTACTCACCATTCACCGCCGTGGGAAACTGAGCCATCATGGTCCTGAAAGTGCCTTGCTAGCTTTCAGCCATCTGCAAAATAAAAACATCGTGCCATTAATAATGCAACAAGGGCAAAACGTCGCCACGCGCTCCTGCTGAGCAGGGGAACGTCTGTCCCCTTCAGCTCCCACTTCCGACAGCAGACAATGCAGGGCTTCACACTGCTGCTGAACAAGCTGAATTTACATTTGGGAGGGGGTGGGGATTTTTTTATTATTATTATTTATTTTTTTTTTGCTTGCAGTCTTGAACCTAGTGGCATATTTTTAAAGGAAAACAGTGCCGACTGTTTAGCAGCTCCTGCATAAAGCACACAAACAGCTGCCTCAGGGCAGACAGAGTGGGGTGCAGCACTCTCTTGGCAAGGGGAGGGCCTGCATACCCTAAGCGTGCTCCCTGGTGTTACTTGTGTCTATCACTAAGAAGTTCACCTGCAGCTCCGTATGGAATGCTTCTGCTGAGAAAAGAGGAGAAACAACCACTGTTCAAACTCACCCATCCCTAAAGTGATTTACAAAGAGAACGCTCTGACAGGATGCACTCTGGAAAAAGAACTGCCCTAATAAAAATCACAGAACGGCCTGGGTTGCAAAGGCCCACAGTGCTCATCCAGTTCCCACCCCCTGCTGTGTGCAGGGTCACCAACCAGCAGCCCAGGCTGCCCAGAGCCACATCCAGCCTGGCCTTGAATGCCTGCAGGGATGGGGCATCCACAGCCTCCTTGGGCAACCTGTGCCAGTGCCTCACCACCCTCGGTGAAAAAATTCCTCCTATGATCCAACCTAAACCTCTCCTTGCCTCAGTTTAAAACCATTCCCCCTTGTCCTACCAATATCCACCCTCATAAACAGTCCTTCTCCCTCCTGTTTATAGGCTCAAGTACTGGAAGGCCACAATGAGGTCTCCCTGTAGCCTTCACTTCTCCAAGCTGAACAATCCCACTTCTCTCAACCTTTCTTCATAGGAGAGATGCGCCAGCCCTCTGATCATCTTAATGGCCCTAACTTGCAGTTTCCTTTCCACCAGCAATGCATCTCAACCCCATGCTGCCCGGCCCCCAAGGAAACTGCTGCACATCCCATCCCAAAACTCACACAGCTGGAAAGAAAGCGTTCCAGATCTGCTGCTGGATAGAAGAGACTATTTGTGCCTATTAATGGGCACAAATGACCCCTAATGGGGTCCAACATTAACAACCCTGCCTCTGTATATTTACACACCATTATTTTTAAATCCACTTTAATACCTATTATTCATATGCTTATACACCCTGAAAATGCCATGTAAAATCAGGTGACTGGGATGGGATGTCATCCATTCATTCTCACTGGGTCACCTGTAAACATCAGAGCCATGTGTACACTGGGCTTCCCCAAAATGAGCCAAGAAGAGCACTGCATCCAAACTTAACTCACTCTGCATTGCTCATATAACTGCCCAGTGAGGGAAGAACAACATATCCATATCTTAAATGTAACACATTACAGAGCAGTTTCATTAGGAGACTTGAAAATAGCCACCAATGTCAAGTATGCTAATGATACTGCTGTGCAATGTGTTCTATGCAGACAAACAGATGCATACATTACAACTATATCGTGTCATTTATGTAGGATATATGTAGGATACACACCTGTGTACGTATGCACACATACAGAATACACACACATGTACATAAATAGAAACAGCAGACGAGTCCAAATGATCTCTCAGGGTGACATTAGGCATCAGCTGCAGAAAGATGAAAAAAGGAAGCCTGGATCTATTCCAAGAGAGGAATTCTAAAATGAATTTGGGTATTTTTAGGTTGCTTGCAGCAACCTCTCCTAGGCTCTGCAAGCAAGAGACACTTGAGATCTATGAATAGCTCTCCTGACAAATGCTTCCAGTGTTATTAAACACTGCTACAGCATGCCTTGCTGCAGAAGCTGTTCTGCCAGGAGGGCCAGGAGAGAACCTGAAGGCAGGAGAGCAGCGGGATGCTGAGCAACACCCCCAGGAGCTGCAGAGCAAAGCACAACACAGCAATGCAGATTCATTCCTAAAGCCCAGAAATCTCAAGATACATTTTTCAAGTCAGCTACGGAGGAGTCAGCCTTTGCAGTTCTTGGGTCTGATGAAGCATGTGACTGGATCGGACACTGAGCTCCCTACACTCTCCCACAGCTGTGAGTGGGAAAAGCAAGCTGGATTGTTAACGGGCTCAAATGAACAAAGCTTCTCTGCCCTGTTCTGATGCTCTTGGAGTCTCAGCTATACCTTAAAAGTCAACCTTAACTGATAATTGTCACTTTGAGACAGCAGGCCTGCAGTAGGCGCTTCCACGTGCACTTGTGGATGACGATCAGTAGCCTAAACAGACCACAAAGATGAGGAAACAGCCATTATAACCAGAACACCCCACAAAAGATTCATTTCTGCAAAACATTACAGAAGAAGTCTCGGTGAACTCATTTCTCATCTCCCATCAGTGCCAAGAACAGCACGAAATCCAGCCTGCCACCCAGCAGCTTCAGGTGTCCCACTGACCACCGGAGACAACACAAAGTCCTTCTGCCATTTAGGGGGAAAACGTGAAAGCTTGATGTTATATTTAAAGGGCAGAACCATCAGTTCTTGTAAACAAATTCTCAGTGCTTCAAGCACTTGTTAATTGTTTGAGATGTGCCAAAGTGCAGCTTCTGCTCCCTTCCTCAATAATGGGATGGGATGGGATGGGACGGAACGGGATGGGAAGGGATGGGAAGGGAAGGGCAGTGGGCACAGCCTTGAGCTGCTGGAGCTCAGGGAGTGTTGGGACAGGGCTTTCACCCACAGGGTCTGGATGATGCTGTGTGGAGCCACAGTTTGGACTCAATGGTCCTTGTTGGATCTCTTCCAATTTGGGATATTCTACAATTCTATGATTTGTGACTGGTATATTCTTTGTCATTTTACAAAAAACAGCCTTACTACAGCCTTTGTTATCATACCTAAATCACTTCTTTCTCCAAAATATTTCCTCAGAGCAACCACAGATGCATGGTTTCAGCTGGAATGCAGGTCTGGAGTACCTGGTTTGTCACCCCAGGTGTTACTGGAAGAAAGCAAACTCTACAGAAGCAACACATCTGGACACCTCTACAGTTTTTCCATCTTTCTCAAGGACAGCAAGAAGCTGCACTGCAGATTTCTGCTGCAAGAACAATTAGGAAATACTGCACCTGATGAACATTACAGCTATTTGCTACTGAGCTAATTACAGATCATTTTCCATTCCTACTGTTTTGTATTTTCTGGTTTAGACCCTCCCTGCAGTAGCAGGATCCCAGTACAACATGTTATTTAGGTGAGACCTTGTGTGGATTATGGCTATTTTAAAACCATAAGGCACTTGAAATGAAAGCTTTTAGAACCCAGTCAGTGTCAGCCTCCCAGGGGTGAGCTTTCTTCCAAGCAGCAGCCACCTGCATGGAGGCAATTTCAAGTCAACCAGCCAACACATCCCATCAACTGTCCTTTCCAGGACTTCACCCCACCATTCAGTTTAGAACTGCAACAGAGGTAACCCAGAACCACTCCAACAACACCTTCAGAAGTGCCAGGTACTCCTCAGGGCATCTCTGCATGGAGGAATTGCTACTGTGTACTCAAAAAAGGGCAAACACCATTCAGACTTCAGTTTCTATTCTACCCAAGTCAGGGCTCTAACACTGGCCAAAACACACCTGAAGTCAGCAGATAAACTCTTCCAACCAAAGAACAGCACACATGACATAAACATTAATTTCACTGTTCCTCTGGAAGGATTTGTTCTGCATTTGGCTGCTGTATGCCAACATCTAGAAAGTCTCTGCTCCCACTCAATTCCGTTTCCAACTTTAATAGCCTCCTGACCCTTGGATTACTTGCTAGCTTGAAAAAAGGGTTAAATGGCATTGGAATTCACATAACATTCTTCTGCCCAGCTTGCCTGATTCATGGGTTTTCTGAATATACTGACCATGCAAAATGGATGCCACGCAACATAAAAGAATCACCGTTTCCACTGCGATGGTGAAACATAACTGTGATGGTTTGACTATTTTCTTTTCAATTATTATTACTAGCTATTTTTCCACACAGCTGCCCAGTTCTTCAGAAGCCATTCAGAATAACACGACTCAGCTCAGCTCTGTCTGGGGAGCCATAAACCCTCCTATCGTTTCTCTCAGACCCTCCCACATTTCACTGCACAGTCATTTAAGGAAGCTCATGCACAGAGTTCAGAGGAGCAACGTAAGCTCAGGACATCACCTTGCTATGTGAATATGTGTGTCACTAAGCTAAGAAGACACAGATCCCTGTCTGTTCATGCTGTCCCAGCTCTGATTCTTCCTTGCAAAGATGTTTTGAAGGACAGAACAGGAGTCCCACTTTGGGAAACTCACTACTGAAACCTTACGGTCTTCCCACAGGAGACGTGTAGATGAACTTCAACAGAAAAAGATGGGAATTCAACCCAGCTCTGCCTCACACTGACAGAATACGTTCACTAACCTGATTCCAGACAAGGAGACACATCACCACCTCCACTTTGTTCAGAAAGAAGGAAAAAAAAAAGAAAAAAAAAAAGCAGCAGATAGATTTAAAAGAGAAAGTCCACGTTAGCAACAAACACAAAAGCTCTCCATTTCTACCTTTGAGAAGGAATTCCAGGCTGTAGGCTGAAGCCTTCAGAGAGAACTGAAAGTGATACAATTGCTCCTGAATGGGTGGTAACTTAAAATACACTCCTCTTTCTTGCTTCCTACTTCCTTATTTGCATGACTGCACTCGGTATGCTGCTTCTTGAAGTCTGCAGATCCCATTTTGAGACGCAGATTTCAGCTCTAATTCTCCGCCAGCACCATACAAGAGCCCTAAGATGCCATCCAGTGAGCTCCATGCAGCTCCAGAAAACTTCCACGTCGCAACCCCTGAATTCATAGGATCACAGAATCACCAAGGTTGGAAAAGACCTCTAGGATCATCCAGTCCAACCTTCCATTTGTGTCACTGCAG